GCACCTCGATTTTCCAAGCAGTTGTCAGTTCTCACGATTGAACCTAGTTCAACTTCGAAGCAAATGCCGTATCTCATGTTAATATTTAAACAGACGGTGATTACCTACGTTTTTCTTAGACGGAGACTTGCTATTGTAAAATAATAAAACTTAAAGTACATGATGTAATTCGTTTTAAGGACAACTTTATTTGTATGAATTAAACTGTACATATGGTATGGTTATATCTCTTATCTTAATACGCATGAGCATTCAACATTGATTCTCACATGTTAGTTAACAAGTGAATTGCAATGCCCATATTTTCTCGATTAAGTCGAGAGCAAGTGCCCCAGCCGCGGCAAGGTAGACATTCCGGGCGTTGCGGTCGCGCGACGATCTTTGACCACCGTAAGCGTGGTTCTACGGTTGGCGAGCAAGGGTAGTTCGCCACCAGACCCGTTGCGCGTACGGGCCACAGATGGGGCCCAGTAGGTCTGACGTCCAGCCGGGGTTGTGGGTCAGGCACAATAATGTACCATAGCCTCGGCCAGGAGCAGAAGAAGGAATGAGGTGGATTTCGTTTGTTGTCAGTAACCGTCTAACGCTCCTTCACCCCACGTAGGGCGAGAGAAGTAATTTGATGATCATCTGCCCTTAAAAAAAGTTGATGGCGAGACCATAGTGACATCAGGTCACTATGGTCTTGACATCAATTTTTAATTAGAGAAGTTTTTATATTAATCCAATAAGATATGACACCATTTACCTATATTAATCCAATAATAGTATCTAAATAGTACATAAGCATAATATTCGTATTTTTTGTGTATTCGTGGTGGAAAATTAATACAGTGCGCATTTTTGTTGTCAATAAGTCGCCTAGGCAACGATTGTCTTCGACGTGGCTCATCGGTAGGCTATTAGCTATTGACATATAACTACAAACATTAAATGTAGGTATGCATACACATACATAATATGAAATGTAGTACAAACACACATATCGGGCTTCGATCGCACGAATATTTGGATGGTCTGATTGATCTTCTGTCCACAGTAGAAGTAAATTACTGTCCCACTATCATTAGGAACATTGGGTTTTGTCATATTCAGATAATGGTCATAAAATATTGTACGTAATACGTATACGCTTTAAATCTATTTTACAACAATATCTTCTTTTATTTCCTAAGTCCAACCGAATGTATCTTTAGGAAACAAAAATAAAATTGTATTTCAGATATTAATTTATTAATTATAGCTCAACTTAAAAGCCGTTTTAACATAATTATTGTCGTGCTCATCGAATTTAACTTCCATCAATTGCGGTCAATTTGTTAAGTGAAGTCGTAGGTGGACCAACATTAGTGGATCCGTGGTGGCAAGAGTTGCCACCACGGATCTTTATTATGTAGATCGTTGTCTCATCACATCGATACCAGTGCTACCGAACAAAAAATGACTCAACGCACTCTCTACAAATTACTCTATAATGTAATGAAAATTTGTGTTTGATTTGGGTCTCCCTAATTATTATACCAATGGACAATCGCTTAATAAATATGATCAATCATAGATTTCCAACTATAGAAGTTCAAAACTTGCTTAAAATGCATAAAGGTTGCTGAAAAAATCGCGTATCATTACTGTATGAAATCAGAATGTTTTGATACGGATAAACTAATTAGTCAGATTGTTGAGGATATCTAGATGGGCTTAGACGTAGAACAGGATGTCGTCTTGCGGCGTGACTCGTTAAGTCGTCGTTTCCGGGGCACAATGAGAGGCAGGGTGTTATTGACGGGGCGGCGGGTGGCGCGCATGTGCACCTCCGGCGCCCCGGCGTCTCGGGGGTGCTTTACTAAAGCCCAGAGTCGGAACACAAACGATGTCAGTCTACTCGCGAACGTCTTCACTACTAGACGCTAACTAAATACAGCAACATGAAGCCACACGCGTTCTTTATTTCACTAAGTCGGTACAATGTACAATAGTAAATTTATTTTCGCGATTAATTTCCATAACTAGTTTATTATTGTTTTCGATTTTGGCTCATGTTTGTCGAAGCTGTCCCTCTTCGCCTAAAGTCGCCTGCTTAAAAATTTCGGTAAGTGGGTGGCCCTATCCTTTTCTGTGTTGTGTTTTTTGTTCTACTATTTAATTGTTATTTTAACTTCTTGTAATTACGACTGTGTTAGTATTCTAATTCGATTCTCGCTGGTCTGTTTTATTGAATCTTAAAGTTGTTGCCTGTTTAATTTATGTCATCTTAGCGTTGTAAAAGAGAAATAAATATTATAAAGGGAAACGAGGACCTTAACAATCCATTATGTTTATTAGGTTATTACCTAAGTAAAAAGACGGAGGGTTGGTAAAAGAAATGGTACAGGTGAGGTGGGACAGCTGGTAGTGACATTTTGAGCGACGGTTGGCTGTACGGGTTTTATAATATTTTTTGCGCGTTTTGGTCTTTAGGAATGTCGGTCTTTGTGCGTCGAACACCTGCCGGGCGGCTCCGAGCCCCGCTCCACTCCCGCTTGTTCTCATTCACGCATTCGATTTATACTTTTGATCGTCCTTAACCTGCTTCCAATTCCAGAAACATTTCATTACTTTACTTTATGTAACATTATTGCAATTATGCGCGATATCTCGATGTACGTATTTATTTATAACATGCTGTTTTTAGATTTTGTAGCCCTGTTATTGTTGTTTCATTCCATGTTTTCATTTTTGGTCGGCGAATATGCAATATGCCGCTTTATATCAATCGCTTTTTGTCGGAACTGAAAAACAAACATTGATTCCACCAACACTTAGGCAAGGTTTCTAATATGTAATTAGAATCGCAGGAAATTAAGAAAGTTGGGATTGTAAGATGGATGATAAGTAGCACAGTAGTACCCTTTGTGGCGCGAACGGCCGGAGTTGCGAATGTAGGCGTACACCTGCGGGTGTCAGTGACCTCGTTCACCTGCTGCCCGGCAGACGGTCACATTTGCATACGCTGGGCCAAACGTGCCATCTGCACCCTTGGACCCAATTCTTAGACCTCACTTTTTATTTATTGGTCTATTAAGCTGATCGATTTAAACTGAGACGTTTTATAAACTTACCTCTACTGTCGAAACAAAAATATTTTCTATAAATAATATAATAAAATACAATGTCTTCAGATTCGAAAATAATATTATGATTAGGATAATATTTCGATCAACAAAATATTTTGTAAATGCTCTTGTGCTGTATAAAATGATGGATGGCGTAATTTTATATCATACGGAATAGTACAGATAATTTTATATGAATTATTATAGGGTTCTTTGCAAGAAGCGACACATACATAACATGAACCTAACTATGTATTTACAGTTGATTGCAACACACCAAGTGCTTGCGACATGCAACTAAGCTTGGTGAATTGAAATTTTGCGTGCGATAAAAAATACAACAGCAAAAATAAAATAATAATATAAGTATTAATTCCCTTTCTTCTGAGAAATTCGATCCTTAAATACGGGCATTACTCGCTAATGAAATGCTCTCATTGTTGTATTTAATACTTCCCGGTTCCCCAAGTTGCTCGTTATTTCGTAAACAATTAAGAAAATGTTTTGTTTAGGTGCGAAAATTAATTAAGAGGTCAACAACGACCTCGTCCGTTTTAAAAAATGAAATAACTATATTGAAACTTACAATTGTGAACTTGTTTTATTTTATGATGAGGGCTGAAAGTTCAATGACATCATAAAACTTGTAAAATGTATGCGCGGAGCAATCTTAAAAAAATAATATCAAGTTAAATACAAGTTAGTAATACCCTTTCTTATTATTATAACAATAAGGAAGTTCCCTTTTATATTAAAATCACCGATCTCCTTCGAATAGCTTCCGCTCGAGCACGCGCGATAAAGCGGGAAACGGAAACGTAACTATTAGCTGAAAGGTAAAATTTTATTAGGAACTTAACTCAATCAGGTGTGATTTATGGTAACTTAGTTTTTCAACATATTCACGTTTTTCGGTATGAATAATGAATGGCCGGCTGTATGTCAAACCTTATCAATTGTGCGGATTTAATTGTTTCGCTCGATGTGCGCGCAAGATTGAATGTTTATTATTATCGAAGGCCTCTTTACGGTTGAATTTTCTGATATATTTTTCTCCTTTCACTGCCTTATTTTCGGCGCGGCCCTGTCTTATTTAAATGAATTATGCTACTGTCCGGGTAGCTTTATTGTATTCACTACCTGTAATACTATTTGATTTTATTGGGTACAACTTGGCACATATTTGAAATATTCTATTCACAAGAAAAGTTAATAGGGGTACCGGGAGGATTTAGGTCGTCTGGTACGCACGTCTGCATCCGTTAGCTAGGACTAGGGTCGTAGCGTACCTTTGTCACGTAGATAATCTAGTTCCTATTTGAGTTCTTCTTTATACGACATTAGCAATTTTTGAGCTACGAAGGTCACGATAAACAACAAGGAATTTAAATAGATTTTTAGTACTTTAAATAACCGTTTGAAACGCGTAAGCACCATACATACACTTGTAAGAAATCAATCAATATGCAGTTAAATCAATGGTGCGTATTAACTGCCTACTCGTATAAATTCAATAGGTTTCCAAGTAAAACATTGCCGTGTACAATCGTAGTGTAGTGTTTAAACGGAAGGTTGAATACCAAACAACAATTCTTTAGAAGAATTTTTACGTGGGCAACACAAACAAGCTATACTCAAGCTGCGTATTATCAAATCTACCGACAAAAGCTACAATGCTCGACACGCTCCACCCGCACTCACTCGTATTTTTCGGATAGGTACGCAACTGGCCTAAAAATATATTTAGAGGGAAAAGTAATGTATCCATTTTGTTTTGATATCGATGGACGCGTACAGCTGCAATCATACACATCGTGTAACAAAAGCACGGACCGTACAATATGTTGTGTTCCCAAAAGGGATACTTTGAGTTACCCTGAATGTTGATCAAATTGTTTTGTTGTACAGGTAAAATGAAGCGGGATGGGTATGGCGATGAGGGCGGCCCTATGCAGAAACGGCAACGCAATACTGACGACGAAGTCACCTTTCTCATACCGAGCAAGGTAAGTTTATTGTATTTATTTACATTTGTGTAGCTCTTGTCTACTGCTGCTCTAAAGAATTGGTTTTCCTACAGAAGTCGAGCAATGAACTCTTACAAAGGCTATCGAATCAACTTGAGCTATGGAAAATGAACACTCAATTATTCAATTCTGTAGTTGCCGAAAAGCAAAGTATAAATAACCAGAGTCCCAAACAGGAGGATTTCGTGTCAAATTTACAGTTGGCTTGCTGTAAGCCAACCCTCTCGCACCGGCGCTATCATTAAAATTGTATAAAATCAATTCATGCCTGTAAGGTTGCAGTTCGCTCAATTTATCTGTATTTACGTACGATGTACTGAATCGTGTGTTATCATTTTAAGCTGGCTGATTTATCCACTTGTGGATTCGTTATTTAGGACCTGAACTGACTTCTAGGTAGTTTATGTTAATGAACTTGGTAAAACAATTTGCTGACCAGCCAATGGACTAGGTGTATGGATGTTTTACTTTTCATTCTCAAAAACTGAAGGTAGTTTGGAATAAAAACATGTTTGGATATATAATTGCCTTTTGTGGAATATTTATGTTGTGGTGTGTGAATTTGGTTCCGTAATGTGTCCACTGTCCTCAGGTGGCCGGCTCGATCATCGGGAAGGGCGGCGCAAATATTTCGAAGCTAAGGAATCAGGTCAGTATTTACAATAACGTCCTCAGCTCCACGTCGAGTAAGTAGTGGAATGTTACGAGTAGTCTCGATTATTGCTTGAAATATCAAAGTATCCAGTACGTATGTACTCTAATCTAGTTCTTCGTTCAGTATTAATGTATTTTCGTTAGCTTTCAAGCAATAGCAGGTATTTACTTATGTATTTGATTAAAGTTGTTTAGATAAAATTAAAAAGTTTTATTTTATTCAATTGTGTTGATTAGTGTTTTTGTTTTATTGTATGCCTATCTGAATGTTGAATATATTTAGTTAATTTATTAACTTTTAACAATTTTCTCGCCACAGGTACGTCTACCAATCTTATAAAATCTAAAATCTGTACTGCTCTGTGCTTCTAATGGGTAATTCAAAAACCTGTCAGATCCGTACTTATACGCTTCAACAATGATATACGCTATTCTAGTCTGTCATGTAGATAACAAAGAGAACTATAAGAATGAAGAAGAAAGTAAGATTCGATAGTTTATCTCGGCATCGAGTCTTGCGACAGCGGCGAGTCCGTAGACTTATTATAGACAGAATAACCCCCCGGCAGCCAGTTTGCAGGTCATTAGCGCCCCCGAGACGCCCCTGTGGCTAGTAGCGCGACGCGCCGCGCGGCTACACTCATACCGCCGTCTTCGACCACATTCAACTCGTCTTAATCATGTACCACCGTTGTGAGTTGACTGCTGATGAAGTGGCTAGAGTTGAACTTGGTCAAAGACGCGCCTTGGGCTGAGTGAAGTCGCGGGGCGCGCCGCTACAGCGTGTCTTGGTTGCCGGTCCCGCCCCGCCGGACGCCGCTGCCCCGCACCCGCCGCCCCGCCACGCAGTACAAAGCCTCTATAACAGTCCCAGATTGCCCCGGCCCCGAACGGTAAACTATATCGCCAACATGTACTCTCAAATCTTAATACAGCCCGAGTCGAGGTCTTATGCTCTACTCGTCAACAGTCAGGAGTCGGAATCTAAAAAAATCATTAGCTCCCGGCGTTAGGCGCTTTACTCCGTATTTCGAGCTCCCGTCCTCATCACATCCGCAGGATTGCACTGAGTCGCACTGGACGCCTTCTGATCTTACTTTCACGACCTGAGTGTCCTCGCATCTCGCTCATTAGCCGCTACAAGTCTGTTCCCTTAGGACTGATCCTTTCACTCGACTTACTTCTGTCCACTCTGGAAGGCAGCTACTTACTGAGTACGACACGTACAGACATAAGTTTCATCGCCATCATGCTTCAGATTACTTTGAGTCCAGACCTCCCTGACCGTTGATATGTCTGTACCGTTGTTAATATTGTGCTGTGATTTGACTCGGTTGCTGCGCAAGTAGTGGCATTAACGATGCTTATGTTTCAGGGTATTATCGATAACGGCGCCGGACGTCGACACCATTCTGGAAATCGTAAAAGAAATATTGCCATGTTTAGCTGATGTGAGTATTACGTAACATGCCATTAAATCTGCATGCCATACCAAGTTAGGAAAACTATATTTTGTAGAAATCATTTTCCAACTAGAGTTTTATACTATATCGTAGGAACTCATAATATTATCAGGCAACTACAAAGTTGTAAATACAATAAAACAGAGGTACTGATTCGGATATTTATGACCAGGGAGGAGGTGTGAAGAACAATGTCGAAGATTTAGACGTGCGTCTACTGATTCACCAGAGTCGAGCTGGCTGCGTCATTGGCAAAGCAGGAGCCAAGATAAAAGAGCTGCGAGAGGTGAGTTATTCTCATTTGAAAAACACAAATAACGCAGGTACCTAAATCATCACAAGAAGTATTGCTTTCTCTCCACTGATCTATTTAAAAAAGACCAAAATGTTGATAAACTTTGTTAGCGACTCAGGTGCATTATAAATTGCACGCGTTAACAATGGTTATCATGTAGGTTACTCTACGTACTACGTATTACTGTCATCACTGTTAATCTTATTCGATTAGATGGATCCCGTTGTCTAAAACAGTAATTGAGGCAGATGCGGCGAGCTTTTACGACTTGTTAGCAGTCATCTGCCAGGCGAAGGTGCAGTTATACTTAAAGATTTTTTATCGTACGGCGATGGCATTCATACCACGTGGTGCCGGTGCATGGCACCAGGGCAGATGTGAAAGCAGCTGTCGCCTCGAATCCCCGGACCTTTATCTCCATCCACACATATTTTATAATGTTAGTAACAAACTCGACAACCACTTTACATTGAATTACGAACAACGTGAAACAATTAAGAAACTAAAACGTACTCTCGACAAAAGCTACAACAGTAGGCGTCATATTTGGTCGACGAGTAGAACAAACAAGGCAAAGCGTCTGCATAACGGAGAGTGCATCGCGCTGGATCAATTACCCCTCGAGCAACTTTGCTAGAAGTTATAAAACGGGTACGTGCCAACGTTGTCTGGACAGGACGCCGACAACTTTGCAATCTAGCTATTAGTGGTGTTGCATTTCATAACTCGAACTTGTTAGCTCGTGTTTGTTTAGCGATTTGAGTAACGAAGGCTGATGCTAGGGACGTGTCTGATCCTGGACTCGCGGCACGTTGTCCCGATGCCACTTCAGCTTTATTTACGAAGTTGGTCTGCTTTCAGTGAACTACATGAACAAAGCATCTGTGTTCTCCGGAAACTATTTAATACGTTCGAGTCGCGATCTACCTGAGTCCATTTTGATCCCTTTTCGTTTTTTGCATTCGATCAGCTGTTCTCGCAAATCCTTTGTTCAATTTACGTGTCGGCCTCAATTTAACAAGACACATAATTCTTTATCACAAAGAATAAACGTCATCCAAAGAAAATTCGGTCTACATAAAAAGTAGTTGAATGTCTTCAGCATGACAAAGGGAACATTGTATTTTCGCGGAGGGCTATTATTATTATTAGCGGTATTCAAAGCGCAAGTGAGCCGACATGAGTTGTTTCTAGTAGCTATCAGTGAGAGTTTCTTGTAGTACCGAGTTCTCTGTATCAAGTGTAGCTAGGGCAGCAGTTTGCTTGGAAGCGCGGCCGCGGCGCGTGCGCGGGCGGCAGCTGGCGGCGTGGCAGGTGCGCCTGCAGCCGCCGGAAGGCGTCACAAAAAGCTCGCGCGCACCTGGGCTCCACCCAGCTTACCTACTTGCACAATGCTCGCGGCCCCTCGGAGCCCTCTTTTCTTACATAAATAGAAATTTCGAACATATGGTGCCGCATCCGCCGCTCCTATCTTTGTATCGCGCAGGTAAACTTTGTAAGTTCTCGCTTTAACGCTACCTCGACCTCGACCTATACCACCACCCTTCATACATTTGTTTCAGTTTAAACGTTGCTCATTGCAGTTTCCCACCTACATTTGTATTAACTCCCGTCTAGTTTCTTAGTTACGTAAATATTAGAACGTTTGGCTTCTCATGAAACTTTGAAGTGGAAACAAAACGTTTTGTTATGATCGTGTGCTGCTTGTGATGAAATCACAGTTGAGTTCACGCAGAGCTGTGAACTAGCCGACGGGTAGGGTCACATGTAGGGCTTCATCCGTCGGAAGCGCGCGGCGCCGGCGTTGGGTTACCGGAGCTACGCGCACGTGACGCAGGAAACTTTTTGTGAACCTCCTTCACATCCTTGATCCTCGTTATAAAACATTGCAGCGGATATATTAAAATGTTCCCATAACAATGAATACAATCTAGGCAGTGTAATTCAGCGTTGGAGTTAGCAGTTTAGTGCCAGCTTTCATAGTACTGCAATTGTGAAATACCATAGTATTAACAGTTGGACGAGTAATAGATAGCAGGCGGCGCGCGGCGTGCATATGTCGTCGGTGTAATTAGGCGACACCGGGCTGCGGCAGTGTCCCCGACAATTACGGCAGCACGCGAGCTAGCCGCTTCCGTTTCCGATCGAACCACACCGGACCATGTATGGCTTCAGTGTTTCACATAAAATTATTGTCATCGTATATACTTCTGGGGTAATCGTTACGTGATAATTATGGTTCGTCCATTTTTTGGAATGCCATGCCGCAACCAAACTGGAAACATTAGCAACAGGTATAATTTCAGCCCGTGGATCAATATTACAAGTGATTAATAAAGGGTTTTTTGTTTAATGTTTTGAAATTGAATATTGGATAAAAATGCGATATTGTGTGAGATGGTGACGATAATGACGGGCAAATGAGACCAAAGAAAAAAAAAACCATTTACTGGTACTTTTAAAAATGTCAAAAAGAAAAAAAGATGTCCATCAGTAAAGATGCTCGTTTCAGGCTGAAGATTAGTATGAAGAAGAACGCGCAAGGCACTCAAATTGAAATATACTTAATTATTTTATGGATAATTAAAATACATTTCAATCAAAATGTTACAACTATCTCATACAACAGCAAATTCCCGAGGGAAATGTCCCAGCGTCAGTACAACATTTTAAAGCAACTAACCTATTTTGCTACATGCCATCCCGGTATCCTCTAAATGCTATCAATTTTCTTAGACGTTGGAGCGAAGTTCTCCTACTCCTTACCCCACGGATAGAGGTATAAATTCGGTGCAAAAGCAACTTCGACTTTGATCAAGACAAATTGTGTTCAAATATTTGCAGCTTTTATGGTTAGACGCGCGAAGTTTATGATTGATTGTAGGTGTAGAGCACAGTATGGTGAAATATTAGCTTGGCATATTTATGATTTATAGTCAACTTATGTTGTTACTGCTTCAGTAAAAGTTTGAAAATCTGGTCACGAAGCGGTTATATGTGTTATAGTTGAAGCGGTCCCCGCACGGGATATAAGCTCGGAGTATACTGATAAATTATGTCGCGGACGTCTCGCTAACGGATCCTTTTCATAGTGAATGACGGCTCGGACTCACGTTCGTGACATGGATCAGAAGTGCTTTACTTTGTGATGAAAATGAAGTTTTACTTGAATTTCACACGAAAAGCTTTATTACTTCGGACCTTCGGAACAAAAGTTCATCATAAGTAATCTGAGAGATGCCAAGCATAGACGCTCGTATTAAATACTGGAGTAAAATTGTTAACTTTGATAAATTGAGAGTGTGTTGTTTGTAGTGGGGTTTCTGTGCGTCCATTACTCTGTAGTGGCATGAGGTAGGCGTGGCGCGTGTGAGCTTTCCTTGGAGCCCCACAAGTGCATGGAGGGGAGTCGGGCAGGTGTTGCACGCGCCGCCAGCCGCCTGCTCAGTCCGCGTCCGACCACCCTCGAGGGATGTTCGCTCCGCCCGCACTTAGTGTTACACCGCGTAATATGTAGCGCGTCTTCGTTCGTGGGTCTTTCATAAATAAATTCAAGTGGTATTAAAGAAAACGACTTCAGATATTTATAATTAATGGAACATACAAACAGTGTGGTGTATGCTTTAAAACAAGTGTGAAGTGAGTTGGTTGATTTTTGAGGCGCGTCAGTATTGAGTAATGATGGTCCGTAGTAGGCGGTGCGTCGGTGTGCGTGGCTCGCATGTGCGGAGGGCGGGTTCCGGCGAGGTCGGGCGGTTGTTTGTGCGTGGCGGCGCGGCGGGGCGCGGGCCGCGGGGCACGGGCCGCCACGTGCGCGGGTCGATGGTGCCGCGCGTGCGCGCCGCGCCCCCGCCGCCTGTCAAACGTCACCGGCACCGCACTGGTGCCGGACCACGCTCCGCTCGTACCCTCACCTTATCTAATATCGGTAATTGATCACACATCGATTTCTCATGCCGCTCCACAACACTCCGACTATGTCGCGACAGATGCCGTAAACAACCAGGCCTAACTGTCTACGTTATGTAATTTGTTTTGGAATTAGGGCGTTGGATTAGCCTCTCTTGAAATTAGGTTACCATTAACTTTAGTCAATTGACCGAAAGAGTCAATGAAAAATCAAATAAAATCCTCTAATTAAACTTACTAGTTGTATTTTCCTTTAATATTGTTCTGTTTTATTTAAAATTCAAGGGTTTTAAATTAAATTTATAAACGAAGTGTGTGTCGTTTACAGAAAACGGGAGCTCGTCTGAAGATATTCTCGAACCCCGCGCCACAGAGCACGGAGCGAGTCGTACAGCTGGTGGGCAAACCTGAAGCTGTCGCCGCCGGGATCAAGGAGGTGCTCGACCTCATCAGACAGGTAAATGTCAACCTTATTAGACAATATAACACTGAATACTATTAATACCAATTAAGTAAGCTCTAATATTTTCGGTTACAAACAACGACGTAGCTTATTATTTATCTGGAAATAATAAGTTTATACTTGTGTTTTCGGTTCGAATTATAAAATACACAATATTTGATATTTTATATGAACTATAAAATTGCAGGTTCCCGTCAAAGGTGCCGTACAAAACTACGACCCTCACAATTACGATGACTTCTACGCGGATGAATACGGAGGATTCGGTAGTGGACAAGGAGGAGGTGGTGGCGGACCCCGTGGTGGGCCCCGCGGCCCTCCTCGTGGGCCCCCTCGGGGCATGCCTCCCATGGGTCCCGCAGGTCGGGGGCCTGCACCAAGAGGGCCGCCATTAGGTCGCAATGGACCCCCTGGCGGCCCTAGAGCCGCGTTCAATGACTTTGGCGGGCATGGCCCTAGAGCCAGCTTCAGTGGGCCACCTCGCGGTGCCTTCGGCGGCGGCGGCGGTGGCGGAGGCAACAGTGGAGGTGGTGGGGGCTTCGGGGGAGGAAACTTTGGCGGCGGACGCGGGGGCGGAGTCTCTGCCAACTTCAGCAACAATGGCGGCAACCAGCAGGACACCACCACACAAGTCACTATTCCCAAAGATGTTAGTGTCACACTTTTACAACTTCATTTCATGAGACTTAATAAACTATCGATGTGATAATTCTTATAAGTGTGTGAGATACAAAACGTGACAGTTTGATTTCCGTTCCAGTTGGCTGGCGCGATAATAGGCAAGGCTGGCTCGCGCATACGTAAAATACGCGCAGAGAGTGGCGCGGGCATCGAGATCGCGGAGCCATTGCCTGGCTCCAGCGACCGCATCATCACCATCACGGGCACGCCGCAGCGCATACAGATGGCGCAGTACCTCCTGCAACAAAGGTCAGTTACCGCACCTACCTACTTACCTCGTCCCTCTATCCCCTGTGTCTGTATTCCAGCGAACACTGACTTCCTGATCACAGAGATTACAAGATGAATTAACAATTTTGTCTATTTCAACATTTCATCATGTTTTCTCAACATTGTGTATCATTGTATAATCAGTCGATTGACAAGCATGTCGGCATCAATCCCAATAACTATCTGCCATACTGTATCATTGCTAATATTGCGAGCTCGGCTGATGTGCTGTTAACATTTAATTTGGTTGAAGCAAACATTTGCTACGAGTTCAATATTATCACTAACACAATATTGTTTTGACGATAGAATGTTTGAAGAGTTCCCTGAGTTGGCACCAAACCAAACTAAGATTAAGTAGAGATTGTTGAACGGATTTGACTGTGTGACGTCGATGTTGTGACGCTCAGGTAAAATGCACACACTTGTTAGTAGCGGGAGCGTAGACATTTCGAGTGTTCACACATGTACCTACCATTCCTGTAATACCTTTACATTCTTATTCTCTCTTTTAGATTTAAGTATTCATTCTTAAATTATCATTCATCACAATTGTATGTTTCTAACTCATTCAATACTTTATTGTAACTAACTTCTTTGATGATTAACATTTCTAGGTTCATCAACTAACGGGCTTCAGCCACAGGCCACACATTGTTTGGAAGACTAGTGATTTTGTTGTTTTGATTTGGGTAACAAGAAATCACTAATCTCCCTACAAAGTACTGGCTCACTCTTCGGATCAAGATAATCTTCTGTGTTGCTCCTGTATTCTGTAATACTAACATTGTCTATTTTCTTGTGTGCTTTTAAGTGTTGTTCTTGTGTAACTGTATGAAAAAATCAATAGTTGTAGTATATTAGAAATTCTTTACTTGATTTGGATCATCAGTACTAATAACTTGTTTGTGTAAAATATAACAACTTAACCTTTCAAAAACCGTGGGACTAATAGAGAGATGATGAAAGAGTGTTTTCATTTTTATACTAATTTTGCTTATTTTGGTCCCCATAGGCGCTGTTATTTCTCCTAGATATGTTTTTAGATATTTCAATTAACGTTTGCTTTGTTTTTACAGTGTGCACGAGAGTAACCCGAATCTCGGTGGTGGTCGCGGGAATTTCTGATTGCAGCCGCGATCATCAAGTGTAATCACATAATTGAAGCTTTACTTTAGTCACCTCAAATCACGTCATTAATTTTATACAGTTTGTATTGCGAGGCTCACATTATTATATATATATATATCTGTACATAGTGACAAAGCCTACCAGGAAAATAATTCGCAAATGAATTTGTTATATAACTTTGATCTTATTTGCTGTTTCGTGATTTCGAATGTCTTCTATATAATGAAAATGAAAAGTATCCGTAATTTCTTGCAATAAACTATACAATTGCAATATAGTGTAATGTGTTATAATATAAATATTTCTCTGGTCGGGTTTTAGCTATTTAAGAATGCATTTATCATTATTAATAAAATAATATTGTTAAAAGAGTTTAATAACTGAGATTGTGTCAATGGATTTACCAATTTATTTGTTACATCGATGTATTTTTAAGTGATAGAAATAGAAATGGCAAATAAATAGTTTATTTTGTGATTTTATTTTATTTGATTTTCTTATTTAGTCACCCTAGATGACCTTATACTTCCTAAATGCTGCACGGTAGGTGCGGTGGCTGAGCAACTGGCTGACGTACAACGTGTCGCGGGTTCGATTCCCGCACGGAACAACTATTTGTGTGATCCACAAATTGTTTGTCCGGTTCTGGGTGTCGTATGTGAAATTGTATGGTTGTAACCGCACCCACGGCACAGGATAAAATCCTAGTGTGGGGCAACGTTGAATTGAAATTGAAACCAGAAGGTAATGCAGTAATAGATAATTTACATTTCAAAATGAACTTGAAAAAATATAATGATTCGTCAATGACGCAGTTTGTTAAAACCGGTATAACGTATAGGTAATTTATTCATTGAGAATGGTGACGCGCCATGGAAAAGCGCGTGATCCGGTTTACGCCCAGCATGATTTGATGGTGATGAGGGGAATGTAAAATTTGGATATACCATAATCCTCTTGTGTAGTTTGTGACATATTACAAAGAGAGTAATAGGGACAAACATGTGGTACTCGTTTAAAAATATGTTACTTGCGTCTAATTCAATTTCTTAGATATACTAGAGGTATATTCCTTGCTGCCTTAATAATGAATTTTGAAAGTGTCGACAATGTTATACCATTATTGCAATAAACGGAAACGTTCTTAATAGTAACAATTGAGTACTTGTTTATAATGCTGTTTGGCAATTATAGATATAGATTCCACTATAAATGTGTGTCTAATTTAAAAAAGGTGCATTTTAATGATTTCAGTAGTCTTATCAAGAAAGCATTACTATTCAAAAACTTGGAAATGATATAGTTATTTAATAAGTTTATAGGATAAGTGTTGGTTAATTAAATCTTCAATGATTTTACCCTTAACTAGGTTATAGGAAAATATATGTGTTCTAGTAACAACTTTTTGTTCTATTTAAAGTTTTACCAAAATAAAATAAATGTTTTGTTTTTGGGATAAGGGTGCTACAACCTCCTGAGACAGCTGCAACACATGTTGAAACACTTCTCGCATCCAATGAAATAAATCAATGTTAGTAATATGTACTTATAAGATACAATTTATTAAAAGAATCACATTGTGTCCCTTACAGTGTCATATAAAATTCATTTATAATGTATACCATTACAACTTAAAGCTTTTCCATCAGATCATGTATCAGTCAGTCATCGATTGGAGTGTAATGGTGGAAGGTCAGTTTCTGAATGTTCATGTTTGTCTAAATAAAACATAACATACACAAGAGGTATCACAACACCTAGAATGAGCATACAGCACACTAAATGGAACCACTTCAGTCCAAAGTCAGCTCCATGAGAAGTCAACTCTTTCACCACAACCGCTTCAACAGATATCTTCTCTTTGCTTGGCAAAAGTTGAGTATCTTCTGTTGCTTGTTCATTCTGCTCAGAGTCCGTGTATGGGACAACAGATGGCGCTAAAGTGCTGTTCATAACAACACTGTTACAATCTATAGAGCACTGTAGATCCTCCTTGGGAGATGCATTTATTGATACATTATTTTGATTCATATGTTCATTATAATGGTTAGTGTTTAGCAGTTCCTGTATACCAGAGAGTGATGTATTGTTTGATGCTGCAGGCACAGGATCTGAGGGCTGTGTTGGTATGAGCTCTGTCAGGACAGAGTATGGTGTCACAGGAACCTTTATTGTTCGTCTTGCAAATATTTCATTATCTTTGTGTATATGGTTGATTCTTTTTAACTCTGATATCTGGAACACACAATAAAAGGTGTAAGATAATAAGATTTAAGATATGACATAGATAAAAAGAAGTGACTGATACTAATAAATATGAAATCAAACTTCAATTACTACTTAAGGTAATTAAAAAAGAACACAGTAGCCTCATTTTGTATTACAATATACTACAATATGTGTACTTACAGAACAATAAAAACGCAACGCAATAGCTTGTAAGGTGTCTCCTTCCTGGACTTGTGCTTCAATAAAATGATCTTGGGGTTTTATTCTGTGTAGTTGTATTTCGTTATGATCACCATCTTCTGCCTTCTTCCCCATGGCATAAGCCACTAAATCATCGCCGCCTTGCATTGAGCGAGCCCTTTACAAACAAACACTATTGTCAGTAACACGTAAACAACATTACACTTCACTAAACTAGAGCTACGTCTTGCTACACTTACCTTTGTTTCATGTTCAAATGTAACACTAAGACTAATAAACTCTACCATGACCTGAATAAAGAGTACAAAACTACCTGTCCGTTACCCAGTTTTAATTAGTATTATAATATAAAAATGTAAAACAGCTGTTGATTCACTCAGTCTTGGACAAAAATTTTGACAACTGCTACTAGGCCTTTTTAAATTTCATGTTATGACGCAAGGGTCAGAGTTGCCAGATCTGAAATGTTTAATAGACTGCCTGTTTATCTCTACGACAGTACGAGAGGTGAACCAACTTCCACAATATTGTTTTTGTACAGAAGTATTTTATGTACTGAAATGGAAATCAAACAAAAAAAATTGTTTACGGAATTGTAATCACCTTTTTAGGGAACACAAAATAAAATCCCTAAGATCGGAAAAGAAGAATCCTGCTCATGGAGCAGTAAATAAATAATTAAAATAAGTACTATATAAGTAGTCTAAGAACCTTGGTGAGTGGATATTGCCTGGTGGGCTATTGCCCAACAGTTGCACCCAGTTTTGTGTCGGAATTTTCTATCCAGGGCCCAAACTTCACTTGCGCGATGAATAATTAGGTAGTGATGTCATCCTTTCATTTTGTTACTGTCGTCGAATCTTTAATGTGCTATGCAGGATAGTCTGAGTGTCTTATATGTCCTAACTACAATTTAACGAAATTTGAGTAAACCCCTTAGTGCGGCACCCCGTAACGCTCGCTAGTTTCTAAAAGTAGAACAGGGCGAGATTGTACCTTAAGTTACCGTAACCCTAGCGCAGAGCAGAAGTTACAATGGGATATATAAACATACAAATTCACATCCACAACACACCCGAAACAACAATTCGTTAATCACACAAAGTGTTGCGCTGAGCGGGAACCGAACCCGTGATACGTTGCCTAGCCACTGCACCAACCGTGCAGGCAGATCAGTCTTTTCGTCTTTGCACGGGCAGGAGAGGAAATGTTTGAAGGTAGACTGTGTGCCGAATTTGTCGATGTCACATGGTTTTTAAATACAAATCATCTTCATCAAACTTGTTGATAACATTGAACTTCCTTGAAAATTGACGAACATTGGCACCATGGTTACATGTCCTTCAGCTTATATTGCATTAGTTTGTAGTCTACAGAAATATGAACATAGTTTCACAATTTCATTTTTTCATCAAGTGGACCTTGTGGACTCTAGAGCAAATTTCCTTGCGTTTAGGCGATTTTGCCATACCTGTTACTGTAATCAAAATACCTAATAAAAGTTTTTATTTAGGTTTCCCTATGCTTCTCTCTCTTTCGGTCTTCTTCGAGTTCAATCCCGAGGACTAGGTGGAGCTTAGTTCGGCGGTGATGTGATGGCGGCAGTGTCCCCTTACACTCTATTTACTCTCACTCTTGACGTAGTCGAGGCCATGGTGCAAAGCAAGAGGAAATGGAAAGTGTAACCTCTTTCTGCGAATCGGTCATGCTGGTAAAGAAGTAGGCGGAGAATATGAGGGAAGAATAGAAGGAACTCTCATCCGCACGCCCTAGCTGCTACAGGAGACAATCTGAGTGTCGGGGATTTCGCGACACCGAGCAAGGGTAGCTCGCCGCACGACCAGAACCATACCTGATTGTACGGTGCAGTCTTTCGCGCGCACCTCAGAGCCACGAACCACATGGGGCTGATATTCAGCCGGGATTGCGGGGTTTTGTTAGGAAGAACCTAACAACCCATCTGCCCCCCTCAGGGCAAGAGAAAATATGTGATGAATTTCCGTGGGAAGCCGAGAATGTAATAAAAATATGTTTTAACATACCTATCGTTCTTTTGAAATCGATCTTCAAAAATTTTTTTTATGTAATAAGTCGGCAAGCGAGCAGACCGATTACCTGATGGTAAGCAATCAGCGCCGCCCATGGACACCCGCAACGGAGGAGTAACGAGTGCGTTGCCCACCTTTTAGGGATTAGGGATTTGGAGATTTAGGGATTGGGGAAGGATCCGGGAAGGGGAAGGATTGGGCCTCCGGTAACCTAACTCACACGGCGAAACACAACGCTGTGGTTGTTTCACGCCGGTTTTCTGTGAGGCTGTGGTATCACTCCGGTCGAGCCGACCCATTCGTGCCGAAACATGGCTGTCCCACACTTTTAGCTTTTTTACAGTTTTAGCTGTTATTTAACCGCTAAAACGGGATTGAATATACTGACCAAGGTTTTTTTATAGAAATAAACTACCTACTTGACAAAATTAAACGAAGTAGGTATCTCCATTTTAAAAAAGGTCGTAGCGAACCTATTTTGTTTTTATGGCTCTTTAAGGAGATGAGTATACCAAGTGAATACATGACACCTGACGACATAGATATACATTAATACATTGAACAATTGGGAATTTAACGGTTCAAATATTTCAATGGAAATAAAACAAAACAAGTCGTTTTCGATCATTTCGTTATAATTTAATAACTCCGAGTATTTTACACAACAGTTACAGAACATAAATACCTTTGGTATTGCGCCATAGAGGTGGTAATAATTGCACATAATTAATTTCCTCTAGCTACATTATGTACAAAAAATACATTGATACAAAATCGACATCTTGATCACTAGTTTATAGGTAACATTAGTTTTATGTGAATACATTCATTACAATCGCTATAAAATGATTATGGGATGGTAGTTCTATGTAGAAGATATATTTAATTATAATAACATTATAATAGGTACCGTTACATTATTATTTTCAGAACTACTACAGTTCAGTTTTGTTAAAATGTGTTCAGTTTAATTAGGAATCGCGCGTTGTTTAAACTCGCTGTTTTTTTGCTTTTTCATCTACAAGGTACATTACAAAGATAAACTGTTACATTTTCTGAAAAAATAATGCAATAGTTTGTCAATATTTTAAGTCAACATTTTATAGGTCTCTAAATATTTATCGTGTTAAAAAGACGTTGTTTTAGAATATTATTAAATTGCTTCATGCTGATTATCACATGAAAACAAGTGCATAAAAAATTAAGTAAAAAAAGGTATCGGGAAAAAATCACAATAAAATAAAATTATCACAGTAATTATTCACTAAACGTAATTCCATAATATCTTAAAAGCACAATTGACGCTCACTAATAAAGATGTTTTTTTTTTCGTTTTTACATTCTGAGTATTTCTATCACAAAAAAAACTTATAATAAACATTATAAAACGAAATGTGATTTTAATATAAAATAAATTAATGAGATAGACATATTAAATTCACAGATGCATCAGACTTAGAAAACATACAACATATCATAATTATGAAATGCGTTGAAGATGTGCTGCTATTATTAATTATTAATCAATTAAATAAAAAAAGAAAATTGAGAATAAAATTTGATTTTCGAATATCGAGTATGTTCTCAAAACATTGCAGCACTAAAGTGACAGTCGTCGACGTATAATTCATATGATGTACAAAACATTACTATTTACATTTTACATAGCGGCACGGGTTTGCATTGTAGCGAAATATTTACAATACCAATTAAATACTGTACAGATTTGTGCCCAAACTTTCATTGGTGACGCTTTTCCATAATTAGAATGATTCCACCCTAAAATTAGATTTACTTAAAAGTAATAAAACACAGACAAATATAATGTATACTTAAAATGAATGTAAAATGCGCAGTTAGATACAGAACTTGCAGATACTCTTAAAAAAGATCCTTATTTTTAACGGCTTAAGATTGAGATTTGTATCAAATCTCTGAATTATCTTAATTCACATATCTGTATATTCGGTAAGAAGTTTTCCATTATTAAAAATATCTTTTTAATTGTATATAGCGTTTAAATGTTATTTTAAGGAAAGAAAACAAAGAAATTACTTAAAACACCATTTAAATACAAACGGAATGATTAGTTTTATTCATAGGCTACGTAATAAGAAAATTGAATCCACTACATCTACAAATATGTGCAGTCTTCTAAACCAATGGGCTTACAATCACCAGAATTATCATATTTTTATTTCAAATAGCCATCGACGAATCCATTACATTGTTTCATAGTGAAAAAATATGCGATTAATATATTTTAAACTTTAATTCCATAATGTCCAATACCAAACACGATGTTTCATGCAATTCGGCACTTAATTGGATTTGATATAGAGTATAAAATAGCAAATAAATGTCATTTTAACCAAAAGAACATGGTTTACAACTAGGTGGATAAAACTTGTGACACTTGGTTGAGGTATAAAAATGAGAATGCGCAAAAAATATAACAATCAATCGGGCGTTGCTTATACATATCACAGGTTGCGTCTTAAGGCAGATATAGATTAATAGCTCAATCTATATTTGTCTTGAGATTCAGTATGAATCGTGGAAATACTGCAAATCTCAAAAGATAAATACTTTATTCAAGAAAATCCCTATTTTTTAATTTTAGAACTGGCTAAAAATTATTTATATTCATATCATTGTTTCTTCATAGTCATCTTTTATGTAAAAAAAATAAGTATTTGTTTACATTTTTCTTCAAGACTTTATTATATCACACCCGGTTTCTTAAAGGCTTGTCAACGTTAAAATTAACTAATCTCCTGTTAAATCTCTTGTCAAGTCATCTGATTGGTTGTTGATAATTCAGTCAACCAATCAAACGACTTGACAAGAGATTAAATTGATTTTTACATTGATCGGCCTTTCGGAAACCGGGTGTAAGTCTACATATTTTAAAGGTTCCGCAGTTTTCCACAACTCATACTGTACATACATAATATACATACTAGGGTGACAATGGTCAGCGGTTATACATTTTTACACTAGGTAATAGCGGCATGTAATCTTAAACCTACGATATATAACAAAAAGATGCATTTTACATTGTCACACATTCAATACTAAGGGAACAAACCCAGCCCTTTAAACAAGATGTTATTGAAATTATAAAATACACATCAACAATTAAATTGATTGCGTAACAATGTAAAATTGTGTGATTGTGTGATTGTGTGACTGTGTGATTACTTCAAACATTGATAGGGAGATTTTAATTATACAGGGTACACGAGATCCAAAAAAATCTTATGTCTATGGCAAGACTCGTTCAAACATTAAACCTCTTTTACTTTTTGTTTTAACGTTTTCACTTCATCACTACTTGCTTTCATTTGTAATCTGTTCGTTAATAAAATATCAAAATTGCCTAGTCACAAAATCTCATACGCTAAGCTCTCGCTTCTTTCGAAATAAGAACTTGATTTCGAGACTCAACGTTAGGAACTTTAAAAGTACGAGACGTCAGCGATTACAATTGATAGCAAACAGTTTTACTCAGAGTGGGACTCGGGTTGTTCGTGACTGTGCTGTTTCTGACTCTCACTAATATAAAAACTGTAATAAATAGTTTTCTTACCAGCTTTAGCGATTACTCCCTTTCCCACTATGCCTGAGCGCGCAGTAGGCAAGTCTTGGAGGAATCGGACCTCACGACCTCACGCATTGTCAAAGCCTTGGAAGTCCCCGGGCCAGTTCTCTCGTCTCGCCGCGCGGTCGGATCCAGTGCATGCGAAGAACGCGTCGCCTTCGAAAGGATCTGACTCCCGAGTGAAGATGTTGATAGAGTCAGACTTACGAATATCCCGGTTGTTGGAGGGAGGAGGACGGGGGCGGAGGGGAGGGAGGTCTCCCTCCTCCTCTTCCGCGATGGAGGCTGTTCTGGGGCGGGGCGCCGCGGCGAAGTCATCTTCGAACATGGAGCGCGGGGATATGGAATCCGAGTCGAACCGGAACCGCGTGGCGCTCTGCTCGCTGTCGCGGGCGCGGGCGCTGCTCACAGATACAGGGGACACGGTCACGTCTTCTGGCTCGAAAGCGAATCTGAAAAAAACCGTATATCACATAAGGCGTCATAACTTGAAGGAGGATAAAATTAAGGGTGGGCAACTGGCTGGGGCGCAATGTGTCGCGGTTAGATTTCCGGAACAACTCTTTGTGTGCTCCACAAATTGTTGTTCCGGGTCTGGGCGTGATGTGTGGTGTGTGTAAAATTGTATGTTTGTACGTTTGTAAACGCAACCACGACTAAAATCCAAGTGTAGGGCAACGTCTTATAAAAAAAAAGAACTGAACAAAGAAAGCCACACATACCTGGTGCCCTCTAGAGTGGAATAAGGGGCTCGTTTCTTGCCAGTAGGTGTGGGTGTATCGTGGAAGTCGTTATCAAAAGGCGATGTGTGTTCTCGTTCCCTGGGTGAGAAGTCGTTGGAGAAGCGATAGTCCCTCGGTCGGCGCGAGTCGTCCCGCGGGGCGCGGCGCCGCGACTCCCGCGGCGGGTCGCGCGCCGCCTCGCGCTCGCGGGACGACGACCGTCGCGGACCCGAACGACGACCCGACCAACCCAACGTCGACCCGTACCTAGGAACAAAAATATATATAAACATTGAGTTAATTCAACCCATTTTACAATGTGTTAATTAAACTTTTCTTGGATTAAGTCAACTTTTTTTACAATTGTACATAAATTCCAAATAATAATGTTTCAGTTCAGGTTATTTTCGAGACAATTAAATTACTATAAATAGTCCCTTGTTCTCAAACTACACGTACGCTTTCTCTGTCTGGCTGTATGCTTAAATCTTTTAAACTACGGAACGGATTTTGATGCAGTATTTTCAATAGAAAAGAGTGATTGAAGAAGAAAAAAATGTACCTGTACATGTACTAAAGCACATCCATTCAATAGTGGATAAATTTAGTATCGGCAATACGCCCGTGCGAGGGGCGAGTCGCTAATATAACCTACAGGTTTCGTATTCGATAACGTATATAATTCTGTATACATTAAGTATTGTTTAATATAATCAGTTGTAGTTCAAAAAGTATCGTTAACAAACCTCCTTTCAGCAGAATCTTCGCTTTGTCGCAATTCAGCACGACGTCTCGTCTCCCGCCAACCGAGTGATCCATAATTTCTTTCTGTACATGTAAAAAAAAACAATATTTCACTAAAGCGCTATAAAAATATAGACCGAAATGCTACGCATCAGAAACCAAGAAGTTCATACTAGGACCATAAGAATACCTTTAAATTTATTAAAAAAAAAAATGAATGAATGAATGATTAAATTTATTAAAAAAAAACTTAAATATGAGTATGGGAGAGGAATGGGCCGGCTCAACCGGAATGATACCACGGCCTTACAGAAAACCGGCGTGAAGCAACACTTATATTGTGTTTCGCCCTGTGGATGAGGTTATTGGAGACCCAATCTTTTCTTAAATCCCTAATAAACCACAAGAGGCCGGCAACGCACTTGTAAGAAATAACTCCTTTGGTATTACGAGTGTCTATTGGCGGCGCTAATTGCTTCATCATTATCATCATCATCATCATCATCATCATCAGCCTATAAGTGCCCACTGCTGTGCAAAGGCCTCTTCTCAAACGGAGAAGGCTTGAGCATTAATCACCACGCTTGCTCAAGGCGGGTTGGCGATTTAAAACTTAAAATTAGAAATTATAAGTCCTGGTTTCCTCACGATGTTTACCTTCACCGTATGGTCTGTATGTCAGTGGTGTCTAAATAATCATATAAAGTACATATAACTCCGAAAAAGTCACATTGGTACTTACCAGGTTTCGAACCCACCGGGTACCCACCCACCAGGTTTCACACCCTCATGCATGAGAAGCGGGCTCCTTAACCTCCGGGCCACCACGGACCTCTAATTGCTTACCATCAGGTAATTCGTCTCCTCGTTTGTCGACCTATGACATAAAAAAAGAAAAACATAGTTTCACTGACCGTCTCTTCTCCAGCGTTGGTCTGGCCACCGGTCTCTGGGCGACGACCGTCCCGACCCGCACCCGTCACTGTAACTGGATACAAATTAACATTAAAATATTATTCAAATATTTTTAAGTCTCTGTATATACATAAGTCAAAGTCAAATCGTTTTTTTTAGCAGGCACTTTAGAACGTCAAGCAAAAATAAATTAATTTCAAAAGGATTAACTTTATACTATTTGCTTGTTCCAAAGTGTAGATTTCTATGGAGAAGAACGAGCAAGAAACTCCTTGTTTACTCTTTTTCAATTACTTTTACAATACATTTATTTGTTACGTCATTAAGGGCTGATTTTACAATGGTTAGATAAAAGTTACCTGGGGAATAATTATGATGCTGTCGCGTCGATATGTTTGTGTAAGACAGTGACAGCAACAATTTTATTCTTAAGATAACATTTATTGAAAAATCAGCCCTTAGTCCAATAGGCATAAAACACAATATACTCACTCTTCATCCTCATCATAAGAGTGCCTAGGTTTCCTGTGTCTATCCCTGTCCTTGTCTCTATAGTCTTTGGGCAGTCTCTCTCTACTCCTCGAGTCCCTGTATTCTCTTTCCCTGCTGTATGTTCTATCTCTGTCCCACGAATCATTCTCTCTGTCTCTACTCCTACGATCTCTCCTGTCTCTATGATCCCTATGGTCCCTTTCCTTGCTGACGTCACGACGATCCCGCCCACTGCCAGAGTCTCTGGCTGAGTCTCTCCTATCTCTAGCGGAGTCTCTGCCATCTCTACTCATGTCCCTTTCTCTGTCTCTCATGTCACGTTTGTCCCGGATTTTCTCTTTTTCTCGTCCACTACCTGAGTCTAGGCATTCTCTTGAGCCGGAAGAATTGTGTCTGTAATGTAAAAGTTAATAATAATTATGATTCGATAGAAATCTGCAAATGTTAGTTTACTAAATGTTCACTAAGAACTTTCAAGAGTACCAATACACCAATCTTATTTTAAGATCTCTGGATCGATGTTTTTTATCGATGAAAAATCTCTGGATCGATGGGTTTTAATATAAATTCCAAAAGCTATTATTTATGACCATTTGAGATGGACCAATACTTTTTTATGTGTTTAAGTGTCTTGTTTGATCTAATTGTAAAATTGCACATTAAACCTAGGACTACATACAAGGTTTTACTTCTTAATGTAATGATATTTTGTTATTACATACCTGGAGTCTCTGTCTCTATGTGAGGGTGGTCTCTGCAGTCTAGTGACGGGAGGCAGCTCTTCATCCCACGGAGAGACATCGCGCGATGATGACGATGTTTGGACTGAAAGTTATGTACACATTTTAGATAAGTTTGCTTTTTCTATTATACTATATAATGGAAGCTAACGTTATTAAAGATAGATAGATAAACAAATCAAAATTATAAATGTATGAAAGCCGTAAATCTAGTGTTGTTCCTTGTGGTATTATGTAATACGGAGATTAACTCCAGTTTGCGATAAAATTATGAATGAAAAAGAATAGAAGAAATAAAGCACCACTGAAGCAAGTTTAATTGTGTAACATGTAATCTTACTAATATTATATTGTAAATGAGAAAGATACGATGTTTGGATGTTTGTTACTCAATCACTTCAAAACGGCTTGACGGATCTGGATGAAATTTGGCACAGGCATAGGATACACCCCGGAATAGGAATTAGCCTACTTTTTATCAACATATCACGCGTGCGAAGCCACGGGCGGAAGCCAGTAGGATGTATAGGAATAGGAAGTGTAGTAAATTAATAATGAGTGAGTTACCGATGGGAGCCCGTGCGGGCGGGTCGTGATGTCGGCGGCGGGGCCGCGCGCGGGGCTCGGAGTCGCGCGAGTCGGAGGACCCCGCGGACGGGGGCGCCGCGCCCAGCGGGGCCCAGCGACCACCGCGCGCGCCCCCACCCGCCCCCGCAGACCCCGCGCGACACCCAGCCCCTACAACCACCGGGCCCAGTTTCTCTGCACATAGATAATACACAACGTATATAGATAATACACAACGTATATTTATATTTTTTTGTATAGTAGCCAATAAGTCAACCTTGTTCTTTATGACGAATTTTTCTATTAGTTTTAGTTTATTGTTAAACTTTATTGTTTCGATAATTTAATGAAAATATTTGTTTCTGAAATTAATTAATTCGATGTTTAATGTACAAATGATATAGTGATGTAGTTTCCAGTTAATAATAAACTTACCTTTAGTATCGGGCGAGGACCCGCTGACCACATCACTAATAGACCCAGTGGACAGTCTGGTGGGCGGGGCCAAGTCCCTCACAGGTAACGGAACAATCTCCACGACCGGCTCTTTCTTCTCCTCAACTTTCTTCTCTTCTTCTCTCTCTTTCACGATAGGGCTCTTCCTAAAAGCATCCTCTACGTGTGTAAAAGAGAGGGAACTATTGTCGATGCAGTCGAAAAAGTCGGAATTATCGAAACCGTCGGATTTCTCATCCGACCTCTTTCTTTCTTTCGGTAGTTCCGGCGGTAGGGACTCGAATTCATCTTGAGGTGGCTCTGTTATAGTGATTTCGCGGAGTGCTGCATACCTAGCAACATAGGGTTATTTTTAATTATTGTAAAAAATGGCTTAAAGGCTGTAACACCATATTTATTTATTTTATCCGCTGGGGTATGCTAATTTAAACTATATTTACACACATTTAGGTACATTTCAGCTTATAAGTTGCTAGTGTTAAAACGTAACTCAATTTTCTTAGAAGCATAAGTTTTAAAATATTGTCTTACCTATCATTAGTATCTTCGAGTTTAACATCAACATGTCCGTTATCCCGCGGCGACACGCTCCTTCTAGACTTCTCTATCTGTAGCGTCTTCATTACAGATTTAATATCTTCAATCTTCGCATCAATCTGCGACGGTTTTGGACTTACAGAGTTACGGAACATGTTAAAGGAATCTAGTGTTAATTCGTCTAATGTTTTCAATGGGCTACGGGCTGGTTCTTTACCATCATTTTCTCGTTCCTGATTGGCTCTCATAAGATTATCTATAGCAGTCAATTCTTTTTCATCCGAATCCTGCTTTGGTTCACTTTCTAACGCGTCAATAGGGTCTAAAATCGATTTCGCTTTCAATTCTTCTTCCTGTATTTCTCTAAAGGCGGCGTATCTATCGTATGAAGGGTTCGCTTTCTTGTCAAAGTCATCGAAGTTAGCTACGAATGTGTCGCTTATGTCAGCTGGCGGAGTGAAGTTGTCTTCGAATTGCGGTTTGAAATCGTTCGCGACGGTTGTTGGCTTCTCAAGCTGCTGTATGCTTGATGTAGGTAGCGCTGATATTACCGGTATTGGTTTCTCCTTTTCAGTTTTCATTGCTGGTTCTACGTGTATATGCTAGAATGATAAATTGGGATTGTTACAGTATTTGATGAACAGAAATACATTTATGTTGAACTAAAGTAGTGTAGCAATTTTTTTTCCTTGTACTGACAATTCCAAAGGCATTCTCTACTATTCAACCGCAAAGGGTGATGCAGAGAAAAGTGAAACACTACATACCGCTCTATCATTATCGGCAGCTAAGTAGGATCTGAGGTACTCGGTGAGCTGAGGTAGCGTCATAGAGGACAAGGTCGTGGCAGGAACTCGTAATCTGGAATTACAAAATATTATTAACGACTTTTCTCCTTTCATTTTCTCGCCTAGGGTGAGGCGAGAGGGAGTGTTAGGTAACTTTTATCGAGTAAAAATGGCCTTATTGCGGTACCTTATTGCGCTTTACAACCAAGGCTGAACATCGGTACTGTTAGGCCCTGTCTGTATTGGTCTATTACCTCTTTGATGCGCGCGCAAATATTATGAACCTTAATATTGTAGGTATGTATAACAATATCTAGTTGTGTAGTTATAATATTTTGAGATCCACTCTTAGACTATGGATGTTTTGGACCTTCTCTTATCTCCTACATCAGACGGGTTTGCTTATTAATCTCCTTGGTGCTTGGACATTTCAATTTGCAGGTTCGGAGTATTTTCTATGCATAATTGTGTGCAGTCCTAATTTGAATATAGTATAAGAGTAAGATTTTATAAATTCAGTAAAAAATACCTTAAAATCGACGTACATAGTAGTAAAGTCTATTTTAATATGTCGTCTGTATGTACCTGTGAGCCAGTTCATCCATGGTGCACGTGAGTAGTTGGCTGAGCGTGATGTCGAACCGCCTGGCGGTGGGCAGCGGCGGGGGCGCCGGCGTCAGGTACTCGTCCTCGCTGCTGTACGTAGCGCCCGACGACAGGCGGGGCTTCATGCTGCGGTCCGCCTGGTACCAAGTATACTTGTTATAGCTGCTGTATTACATTCAGTAGGGTTATTCAAGTTAACACCCCTAAAGTGGAGGACCTCTGTCTCATATTCTGGGGTATGTAAGATTTTAAGTCAAGTAAGTGACTGATCAGAGCTACATGGTAGGAATCATATTCCATTCTATTACCAGGTTTTTTTACAATAGTGATCAAATTGAAGTTTCTGGTAAAGCAGTTTTTTGACCATTATTTTCATATCAATGGAATTAAGAGCTGTTATCTTAGGTCGAGTTAAAAGTATACGTTGGCTTAGACCAGGGTTTTCTCGTTTACCGTGGGTCTTCCAAGACATGGAAAAAGAATTTGTGAGTCACACAGAGTTAAGTATCCTAACCATGTGTAGATGGAGTGGTTCGCTTCACAATAACATGTTGTATTGACATCATCAATAGAATTCGTTAGACATACACGCGCTATAATAAGTATAATATTATTATTGTTATGTTACCAATGGTTCTCGCCGCATGGCAGGTTTGGGTAGCGGAGGGCCGACGTCCTCATCCTCGTGGTCGTGTGGGGGTCGAGGCGGGGGCCGGGCCCCTCCCAGCTCACACACTTTCTTCGGCGGCAGCGGCGGTGGGGGGGACGCACTCTCCGCACTCAGCTTGTGGGCCTGGGGCCTCTGGCGCACCGTGCTGCCCTCTGTGCTCTGAAATTACAAAGTATCACAAAATGTTTGATTGAAGGTTTAGTTGCCAGATTGTAAGAGTAAATAGCTGTGTTGTCTAGTAATAAAAGAGCAAATGAGTAGCGTGTTAGTGCTTATAGGTAAAACAACCATCAAGCAGAGCTGGAGTCGGTGTAGCCACTAGCGTACCTGTCTCTGCAGTCGCGGGGACTTGGGCGCGGGCTCCGGCGGCAGGGAGACCTGCAGCGGCCCGTTGAACACGTTGCCGGGCTCCGGCTCCGACTTGTCCAGCGTCGCCTCCCTGCCCAGCTTGCTCTTGAGCTCATCTACTCTGAGTACACTCGACTTCGGGAACTCCTGCATACTTGTGAAGGGATCGTCTTTGAATGAATCCGAAAACGGATCAGTGTTATCGAAAGGGTCTGTCTCCGCAAACGGGTCGGCGGAGAAAAAGTTCCCCGAGAACATGGCAGTCTGCGTCGGCTTGACGATCGCGACCGAGCCGCCCGAGTGCCGCGACAGTGACGTCATCGTCGTCGCCGGCCCGTAATGCTCTATCTTAGTGTCTGTGGTCACCGGCAATATGTCTGATATTAGACTCTGTGTCGACACGAGGTCTTTGAGCACTTTCTTTGGCGGATTTTTGAGCTCCTGAAAGAAGAGTTTTTTGTCAACGTAAGGTTTACTCCGGCCGGTGCCGAGGGGGTCTAGTTCCGTGAATACGTCGTAACTGAGCGACTGCGTCGTGGACGCGCTGGGCTGGCATACCTGTAACACAGCCAGTCACCATAACACTAAGTATATGTAGACGTGGAACGCAATTTTGGTTTCAAACTAGAGAACTACTCGATCGTTGCAGATGCGAGTAATTCGATAATTGACATTTATTACTTTTTTATAAATTAAAATTGTTCTACAATGATGAAAGCGTGCGTCTAACACATAACCGTAGACAGTGCGTTCGTAGTGCGAGACCGGGCGAGTAGTCGTGCGGGATAGTTGCAGCGAAGGAGGCGCGTCGGTGTCGCCAGACATGGCGGCGCGCGCGTGTCGAGCTTGCGTCATGCTTCAGGTAGACGGTTCTCGGACAGTAAGGTAAGCGTCACGTCCACATAATTCAGTCTTATAGCATACAGACACGTCACAGCACAGGGACCTACTACTGACACCAAATATTATTGCGAGCTGCCACAATCGTGTTTTCAAAAAACATCATAATTATTATTATTTTTTGAATGTAACGGCAGGGTCTGTTTACTCGCAAAAACATTTAATGGCAGCATTCGTCAAGCAATACCAGATTGATCATGCACTATAGAGTACAGGGCACTAGAATAGTATATCACTTACAAATAACATCAACGAACATAAAGTACACAGCCTTGCCAAATAAGTATACGACTACAGGGAAACGTTGCATTTTAAAAAGTATTATTATTATTAATAAACTTTCATTAAATCTGTCCTGTACATACATTCACAAGATTGGTATAGAAAAAATAACATGAAAGGGTAAAAAATATAGTTTTTTGATTTGTTTCTTTTTGATTAATTTTGTATCAAATTTAGGGGTCCATAAATGTTGGCTACGTTTACGAAATTTGGTGAAGTGAAACAGTGGCCTGCGAATAAACCAATACACGTGCGGTAATGTCTATAGTTAATTCTGTTAAGTAAGTTTCATTTTCCTCGACATATTTATTTTATTGTAGGTACTCTACAAAATTGTTCATGCGTTTGTATATAGAGATTGCGTAAAGTTATGCTAATAAATATATTATTTACATAGACATTGTATTTAAGTAATTTGGAATTAAATATGTATATTTAAAATTTTCCTTGAAAAAAAAGATATTAAGAGTTTTTCTTAGCGTAATGTTTACCATAAGAATGAATTTGAAATTACGAAATAATGTATTTTTTTCTTTACGATATCACTGTTAAATTGTAAATGGAACTATTCTACTTATTTTTACGGCACGGCCTTCGAATAGAACTATGTTCCTACTTAGATAATAGTTTTACTAACGTTTGAACAATTTAGTTAAGAAATTGATACTTTTTAGTTTAATTAAATGTATTGTCTATTGGATTGTCGGACGATGTATTTATATGGAAACGACAATCGAGACGAATGCTTCAAGTAATTTACCAATTGACTGACAATATGAAGGATGTTTGTCGTCATAAGACACTGAATATTGAATTATTGGTAAATAAAAAACATACATATATTAAATAACTGTTTTGTTTATATTAAAGAAGATTTCGTCTATCAATATATGACTTTGCACTTTCCCTTCACCATACAAAGAACATTGCCCTCTCACTTTATCAACATGCATATAACAAGGACAGGAAATTTTAAAAACATCTGAAGGAGTATTATATAGTATACATAGCTAATATTATTATATTTTTTGTTACTAACCGGAGGTTCAGCCAGGTTGTCGACGAGAGCGGGTGTGGGTTCAAACTCTGCGGCAACGGTGGCGAGGTCGAATGGAAGAGCTGGGGCCACTTTGCCGGGGCTGAAGACCCCTCGAGCTGATGTAGGCGCGGCCGGGGTACTACGCCCGCGGGTAGACGCACCAGAGGGGGGAGGAGGGAGTAAACCCTTCTGGAAAGTTATACATTCACTGTTATATTTATTTATACCAGTCTTAGGTTTTGAATAAAAGGCACATCATGAAAAAATCGATAAACGATTATACTAAAAACTATTAGGATAATCTTGTATACATGTTATGTTTTGCGATTAGAGAAAATCGAAATAATAAAAGGTGGCGATTAATTTTTAATAAAAAATAGTGTTAAAAGAATTTAGTTACTTTAGATAGTCTATGTGTAAGTAATACATAAGGATATAATTAAAAACCAAGAGTCCGTTCCAAGCAAACGATATGTATAAAAAAATATAGTAATATATTAAAAAAAAAAACTGTCACAACATACAACAACAATGTCAAACATGTGTAAAGTTACTTAAGAAATTCAGAGAGTAAAAAAATAAAGAATAATTACAACAAAAAACGATATCAAGTTAAAAACATACAAAAAGTAAAAGAATACGGTAACTATTATGTATATACATAGTTGAAGGAGTCTTATTTTTCTTATCTGCATTGGAAGCATTACAGTAACTGTACACGATTTCATTTGGGAAGGGTGTTTAGTTTGTATGACTTATGACATTTGAAGTGCATCTAAAAAAAATGTTTACATATTTACATTGTTGTTTGTAGACCTTATCGATTAGAGCCGTCGTTGCTGGTGACTTTTTGTTCAAAGAAACTGTTCGTCAGTAACAATGTAATGGACTTCAAAATGAAAGAAGCAGGAAAAAAAACGAAGTCACTCGTGTGTCGACTCTCTTAGTCATGTACAGGTTGCCTGACACTGCAAATATAAGTCACCGTTTTCTCACGTCACTGCAATGAGCTCAATCTCCTATTATATCTTCATCACACTCAGCTTAGTGACAAAAACATCAAATCGATCTTTTAATACCACTTTATCACAACTCTACTAACTTCAAACACCAAGTCACAATACCCTTCTAAAATGAAATCGAGTATAAAGTTCCGCAATATTACCTGTGATGGTAGAGTAGTGAAGGAGTCGCCGAAAGGATCATTGGAAGGCGTGAGACCTTCGACTTGAGTTAGACCTCTTCTTAGTGAGCTGAGCTCCTGTTCCAAGTCTACCAACTCGGCCACGCCCCCCTCAGCGCCAACGTCCGCAGTTTTGGCTGTGGTGGAACTCGTCTCACCAACTGATGAAATACTCTGAGAAAGATATCGATACTATCTTTGGAATTATTTACAGGTATTTTGTAATCAGTTTGAACGTGGAAAAGGGAGTTTAAAATTGTTAACATTAAGTACTTTGATAAGATTATTTATAACATATTTTAAGTTACTGTGTCGAATTAATTAAGTTACCTGTAATGGCAAAGTAATAGGTATGTAGAAATAAATAAATAACGATATTTTTAAATTAGGATTTGTTGAAATAGAAATACTATTTATTATACAGTAAAACCTAACTTATTAAATAAGGGATCATTAGACCCCACGCCCAACGACGTCCGGGTCGGACAATGTAAATAAAAAAAATCGGTTTTTATTATAACCTTACCCAACATTGCATAGGATACTCGTTTACGCGTAAATTTTGATTAAAAGCAAAACACGAAATATTAATAATAAGAAATTAAATTTATTTATTTTATTCAGAATCATTTATTTGTTATTATTGATTCTTTGTTACGTTTCAAGGTTCCATCTGACATATCGTAAATGTGTGGCAACGTTCTGATATCAAACGTCCTTGCCCATGAACTGGACATGACAATGATGTATGAGGAATACTACAATTACCGTACACATTGATAACGAGTTGCGAGGTCGACAACCTCTGATATCACGGAAGGGTATTGTGAAACAAGGAACAACTGTCTTTGATCCTCAGGAGAATACACAAATGTACTCAATAGATGTAAAACATATTATGCACTAATATAAAAGTATGAATTGGACATAAGTTTATGTCCTTATCTCGTGAACCTTCTGAGACAAACTCAGAAAATAACTTTTTATAATCAATAAGCAACAGAGGAGTTCCTATGTGAGAACAATGCAGAGACAAGTTGTTAATAAAAAGGAACAAATGATGGTCTATCTAATCTATCATTAAAATTTTAATCCTTTGTTGTCTCGTACATGGCGCTGACATATGCGTACTCACAATCCAAAAGAATGCTTCTATATAAACTCATTCAAGGTTTCATTAATTTTGAGAATTTTAATAACACTGACTACATATTTGAGAATTGTACAGTGGAGCCGAACCAACATGCTGCCAGGCATTCTTATTCTTAATATAATCTGAAAGTTTGTAGTATGCCTGTCTACATAAGTATATATGTATATATACTTAAACACTTCTTTAGCTTTCATCAAATAAGTTGTAAACTAAACGAACCGAGTTATTTTTGTTTGGAAATATCAATAACTACATTATTCATTAAATTTTATATCGCGGTCGCGTGGATGTCGATTTTAGGCTAAGAACTCACGGAGCGATTTTGAACCGTGCCCGCCGCGGTAGCGGAACTGCGGTTTTATTTCCAAACTCACGAGACCGGTAATTTGCGCGGTTACACAGCCGCCGCGGTTGCGATCATCGCCCGCAAAAGTGGCGGGCGATGATCGCAAGATTGCAAAGCACACCAGAAACGAGCCGTTGCGTTATATTTACTTCACAGAAGATCCGCCGGCCCCCGCGGTCGCTCGCCAACCGATCGCAAAGCGCGCGGGTGCCACCCGCCGAGGCTGCGGGTAACCGCGGCCCGCGCGATTCTACTAGTTGCCCGCCGGTACAGCGGGAGCCGCATACAACCGCGTACACCGCGGGCGTAAAACGCTTCGTGAAATGTGCTTTAATTTTTTATATATATATTTGAATTCTACAGAAGCTGCGGGCCCGCAACCGCAGCGGACGCGGGCGAAAATCGCTCCGTGAGTTCTTAGCCTAAGGCTAAGGGTTGCGGGCCCGCAGCTTCTGTAGAATTCAAATATTTATATAAAAAATTAAAGCACATTTCACGACGCGTTTTACGCCCGCGGTGTACGCGGTTGTATGCGGCTCCCGCTGTACCGGCGGGCAACTAGTAGAATCGCGCGGGCCGCGGTTACCCGCAGCCTCGGCGGGTGGCACCCGCGCGCTTTGCGATCGGTTGGCGAGCGACCGCGGGGGCCGGCGGGTCTTCTGTGATGTAAATATAACGCAACAGCTCGTTTCTGGTGTGTGTCCATGGCGGTCTGGACCTCAACTGATCGTTAACCGCCCGTCTTGCAATCTTGCGATCATCGCCCGCCACGTTTGCGGGCGATGATCGCAACCGCGGCGGCTGTGTAACCGCGCAAATAACCGGTCTCGTGAGTTTGGAAATAAAACCGCAGTTCCGCTACCGCGGCGGGCACGGTTCAAAATCGCTCCGTGAGTTCTTAGCCTAAAACTTTCTCATCAAATTCTTGCTTTTCTGTTGAACATTTTCCTGAATTTTCTTTGCTATAAACCTCACGGAGCCCGAGACGTTTACAGCGAATGTCAAACCGTGGAACTCAGTCTGTGCGTTGTAGAGTTATAGCGTCAGGAAGGAAAACTAGACTTATTTTTATACATATACCTAGTAGATAGCATATTGTGACGTCATAATTTCTTCGCCAAATAAGTATTTGTTTCTGTGGTTGAGAATGTTTCGATGGGATTGGCGCAACAAATATGACACTGCAGTGTTGTAATTTAAAATGAAAGAGCTAAAAAGCAACAAATATCCACCAGTAAAACATTAAAACAAAGTTTGCATGTCGAACTTTAAAACGGGTCGTATCGCGTGTCATGTAAAAATTATCTTCGTCGAATAATGCACAGATTAAATAAACTTTGCGCGAATTTGTTACAACACGACAATGTTACTAAACACTGGGTAGGTACCCCGTTTATGAACTAAACTAATTTCGGTTATTTACATAATCTATATCTGTCTGCACCAATGCCTTTTTGTTGTATTTATAAAAAAAAATAGAAAAGTAGGGGGGCAATTTGGGAAAACGTGACCCTTTCGTTGTTAGTTAGATAGTTGGACCCTAGCGAAGTCATCCTAGGGGTAATATTTGGAACCGCTGCCTGGTCGGATTGCCAAAATTCTTTGACTGATAGATAGCTAGAATGTTCCTGAGTGTTATAAGCTACAAAACATCACGCTACGCTTACATGGAGCCGAGCAGCGGGCGAAATCGCGCGAGAGCAGCTAGTTATTACATAAACGCATTGCTGTTGTTTATAACTTCATCTTGCCATTTAGACTTTTAAGAACTTTTTTAGGAAGACAAACCTTCTAACAGCAGCAATCGACAAAAATAAACTGACATATTCAAAGACGAGTAGGTATGTTAACCGTCTCAGAATCAAAATATACCTTGTAAGAACATTTTTATTATCAAACATAACACAATTTTACTGTCGCTTGAACATTACACGCTTCCTTGAGTAGCTATAATCAAATCAATCAATACTTTTTCGGCGAAGGAGTCTGCACTTCGTATCTCCCATTTAACACTCAAGTTGTAAAAAGGAAAAGAAATAAACTCTAATTCGTCAGCCTTGACAAACATTACGTAAACCGAACATCGATCTCGCGACCTTTAGGTAGACAACCCAGAATATTTTATTAGCGACGAGAAAACGGACTCGGATGGATTAGTCATAAACTGTCTGGATCCTAACTTATTTTAAAAATGTATCTAATTTAAATAGAAATAAGAACTAGACTCAAACGATTTATCATAATGAGCACGACATTGAAGTAAGGTTGACTTAGGGCCTGTTTACCTGATAAATTTGAATGTGGAACGTAATATTTTTCGAACTGTGCTACAAAGCTTATTGGATACTGCAAAAGTTACGATGTTTGGATGTTTGTTACTCAATCACACTAAGACTGCTGGACGGATCTGGATGAAATTTGGTACAGGCATAAGATACACTCCGGAATAGGACACAGGCTACTTTTTAACAAAAAACCACGCGTGCGAAGCATCGGGCGGAAACTAGTATGTCTATAATTGACTATGATCTATAATGTATAAGAATGAATCGTTAAATTTGTTGGTAAGCACACAACTTAATAACGCCTGGACCAATTTTGATAATTCCTTTTTTGTAATGTTTGTTACTGCCAGGAGAAGGATCTTATGAAAGATTTTTTTAAAGTGTAGAGTTGATTAATAGGGACCCTTCCGTCGGTAGCGAGATATTTGAAGACCCGTGCGATATATAAGTGTCTGTGTGTTGACGACACGAAATAACTATCTTCCAAACATTTGCTAGCCGCGTCCTGTGACAGTTAAGAAAACATTCGTATATTCTGTCAATGCGCCTCGCCAAGAATTTAACAATTTCCTAAAGGAACAACTGAGTACAATGTTCATTAACATTTATTTTGTCAACAATGGCCTCTACTATTTCCATGGCAGTTGAATGTGTCGATTAAACGTCCAAAGCTTTGATCGAGTCTAGGCCGTATAACTCCTAAATAAAATTGAAACTTTTGGGCCTGTTTTACAACGATAACTTTTGACACTCGGCTTTGCTAGTCCTATAAAACAGATGCTTGATAAATTGTGAATTAATTGAAATGATTGAATCTTGAATCTACTTATCAAAATCTCCTTTTATTTAGACGAGGCCCGAAAAAGATTGACGATGAATTGATGAAGATGATGATGGTGATTGTTAATAAGTCGACGATCAATATTTTTGGGATATTATTACGATATTAGACATATCAATGTCGCGGTTTCACTAAAATGTCTTCGAGGGCCGGATGTAAAGCCCGCTTCTCATGAATGAGATTGAGGGTTCAAAACCTATCAAGTACCAATATCACTTGTTTCCAGTTATTCCTTGATGTATTTATAGATCTCTGACAAAATTTGTAGGCAAACATCTTGAGGAAATTCGAACTCAAACTTTTAAGTTTGTAATTGCCAATCCACCTTGAACACAGAACAAGCGCGGTGACTCATTCTGTTCTCTTTAAGCAAAGGGAATCAAAAACGCAGGATAATGATGATAGTATTCCTCACCTTAGACTGAATAAACTTTAAAAAGAACTTATCGACTTAGTACCCTTTACCCGTTCTAGCGTACAATACTATCGCTCTTTAGCACTAGGCCACAAATCGATACTTCGATAGAACCTTCGTAAAACAGCGTCTATTTCAGTACTGGATACTAAATGCCTCAATATTTAATAGGTTTGTAATAAGAATGGATGCTTATTGGATTTTGTAGTAAGGAGGGAAGATTTTTTTACTGGCAACCAGAATGTAAAGGCCGCAGCTATATAGATTAACCTTATTCAAAATTTAACTACCTAATTAATAAAAATAATGCACGTTATTTGTTTGATAAATCGCACACAGGACCACTTGATCAACATTAAAAATAAGCCGTTTAAACTACATCTCAACTCAACTTCGCTCGTCAAACCAGAGACATTCAATATAAAAAGAGATTTTATTAGAATCACTATAAATTTCCTAACATATAGCACAACGTAAGTTAATAAAGTTATTTAAAAAAATTATAAAATTCACAAAACCTTTTTTTTAATTTTCACAGACCAATCGATGATAATGAGCCACATCGCGCGACCGAATACTATTAATCACGCTGTCCACACCAAACTAACCCATCTCGGGGCGACAGAATGTGTATCCATCCGGTGTTTTGGAAAATCGATTCAACAATCGATCAATCGATTGCGTATCACTAAATATCGATACTATTATTATGATTTTGTGTATTGGTACCAATAATGGATAAGCCCAGCCCACTATGGAAAGATGTAAGTAGCGTTTGCAGCGGGTGTAAGCGCAATAATATACCGCGGCATAATTAGAGCAAGAGAGGGAAACTAGGCGGTTTTTAGTCAGTAAGAGTCTGACACACCCTCTCGCCACAACCAGGGCAGAAGAAACCTTTTGAAGATATTCACACCTTAAAAAAGTACCAAGACGTATTATGGTAGACTTAAGTACATTGTGTTGCTAGCCCTTTTTTCCCTCGTCATGTTAAAGCCGAATACTTAACTCCCGAAATCAATAATCAATTTTTATCAAATCGCTGGTCCGTTTCTTGTCTCTCTATCTATCTTTCTAATCTAATCCAATCTAACTTTATTATTGAAATTTCACACGACAAATGTCAAGATTTGATCTTTTAAGTGAAAGTCAAATTAAGCAGGCGCTTTGGAAATTTCCGTGAAGTTAGACCTTAGTTCCAAAATGTCCAAAATATGGAGATGACGACAACAAAGTTTATGGGTACCTACTCTTTATTATATCGAAATATCGAAACCTATAAATATTAGCCGTAAGCCATTTGATAGAGACTACGTGGAGGTTTTGAATTGATAGATTATTTTTTTCGGAATACGACAATATAACCTTTATCCCATTGATTCCGTTTGGGAATCAACTTCGATAACATTTTCTCTTGTGATTATGTGGAGCAATTGTCATTTTTCGAAAAACTACCAATAACACACAAATCATCATCCGTCATCCGTCAATCAAACCCGAGAGCCTTTTTCTCGCTAGAAATCACGTATTAAATTTTTGTTTTCCAACAAAACATCTACAATAAGTACACAGTTACTTTTCCTCTGATATGGACTTTGCTTACAAAACAGTCGTTTAGAAACGTATGGAACGCAAAATATGTTCAATTGCTTTAATTACTCGGTTTATTTAGACTGCGTAGTTCGAATACCTGAATAGTTAGGACTACAGAATCAGGCCAACCAAGGGTGTGGGTTGTATTAGTGAAAGGAGAAAGACCTACACGTTTTTTTAATAAATATATTTAGGACACGCTATATGTCTATAATCATAAATTTATAATTTATATTTATGTATTACCACTTTTCTTATTTGTAATTAAAAAAAAAGTACAACCTTAAAGTCGGTTTTACTACTACCGATGACTCTTGTTGTATTAAATACAAGTTTCCGCCCGTGGCTTCGCATGCGTATATATATAGTAATGTATCCCGAGGTTATAAAAACAGCAGCGTTAAAGCGATAGATCGACTAAAATACGCAAATCAAATATATTTCTAGCACTCGGGAATATCGTAGATAAATCGGTGAAAGAATTTTGAAAATCCGACTTTCGAAGCAGTTCGAAAAATTACCCCCTACATACAACTTAAAATGTTTACCTCTTTATAACTTGTATAGATATATGTATAGGTATAGACGAGCAAGAACAAAAAAAATATAACACTAATTTTATAAGTTATGAATTTTATAAGCAAAAAAATGTTATACCCAATTAAGAAAACTTCAATTATTCGGTTCGCTAACTCGTAACACAGGCACGTTAGAGTTTTAATATAAATGATCTAAATAAAAAAAATAATTACCTTAGTTTTGCTTTCAGTAGAAGCGTTGGTCGCGTGTCGGACCAAACTGCTGGTGACTGTCTTGCCTTCCAACTGTTGTTTAGCCATCTCCACTTCCTTCTTCTTGAGCTCAAACACTACTTGGAATAAGTCTCTCATTGCTATAACTACCTGTAATAAAACAATTGAAATATTGAGATAGTAAAACCAACATACAGTATGAAATATCTTTGTTATTTGTTTAGTATTTCGCCGTGTCAAACTACTAAACAAATAACAAAGATATTTGTCGTGAAAGGTAATCTTGTAATTCCTTTGGTGTTGCGGGTGTCCATGTGCGGCGCTGATTGACGGCGTTTGACGACCTATGCCATAAAAAACAAGCCTTTTTTTGTCAGGGGAAGATCATCAAAGGACTACTCCCGCCCAGGGTTAGGCGAGAGAGTCAGACTCTTACTGACTAAAAACCCCCCGTTCCTTCTCCTGCTCTGGGCCGAGGCCGCGGTGACCGCGGTGAACATCAGCCCTATAGGGCCCCGTCTGTGGTGGTCAATTGGCTCTTTGAGACTGGCGCGGAACGCTATGCGCTTTACGCTCGAGATAAACAAAAACAATCCTTCTATCACCTGATGGTAAGCAATCAACGCCACACATACAGCCTGAAAATCAGAGTAAATCTTTAAGGTAGTATCCTTTCAGAAATACTTACTTGACTAGCAGCTTTATCAGTCTTGATGCCAAAGAACCGATGGCCGGTGTCTGGAGATCCGAATATGTAGCCAAACGCCCTTGAGTCCGTCATGTCTTGGGCGATGAACGATATCTTGTGGACAGGATGGTGATACAAGGAATCCTGATAGGAATAATAAAAATTGGTTTATCATTTGTACGTATAAGTAAACAATTCACGACTTTTCTTCTTTTTCTATTAAATATTTTGAAATCCCCCGACCCCAAAAAATATGCCATATTTATGGGAAAAGATTAAAAATGCTAAACCCTATAAAACAAAATAAAAAAAACTACCAGGTAAACTGAGTGTGTAACATTTCTATCACACCAAACAAACGACCTGATGACCTTGAAGACCTGAACCGATTTCCATCAAATTTGGCTAAGAACATTCCCGACATACCTATCAAACAAGTCGAAGTCGTAGTCGGGTAAAAAAAACTGTATTAAAATCGGATCCTCCGTTTGACAGCTACGATGCGACAGACAGATACATACACACACAGACATGTCAAACTTATAACACCCCTTCGTTTTTGAGTCGGGGATTAAAAACTACACTATCGACAAGGAGGAGAACGGTGGTCTTTACAGAAATCAAATAAAACCCACAAAGGTGAAATATAAACAAAATAATCATAGTAAAAGGCCTCATCATACTACTCTATGTGACTACACTCATGCTTCCAGAAACTCAAATGAAGAATAAAGTAAATCCGTATTATTTCTCTCTTCAGAACACAATCTGATCTAAGAAAGCTGTCTAATCTAGAAGAGATATAATCGTAAACTGCAGAAATCACATAAGATCAACTAAAGATATTATTATACTTATTAGAATTAAAGAAACAAAGGGCATTATTCTATTTCGATCAGACAATAGCATTCTAATGTAAACTAAGGTCATTTCTTATTATTAAATCGACTAAAACCCACACGACAATACTTTTTTTATTCTAGCCTTTTTATAGTATATTTTTTTTGTATATCTCGCCTTTTTAGGTCATTAAATTAACGGTTGAAAAAATGATATCACTGCAGTAAATGACTAGTAGTTTGATTGCATTGATGAATTTTTCTAGAGGACCGTAAGTGAAGGGTGAAAGGTCATTAAACTCAAGTTGCTACCAGAATGGTAGGTAAAGTTAGGTTAGGTTTGAACTGCGATTCGCACAGAAATCGAATTGCTATCAGAAACATCAGTTAAAAAGAGCTACAAGACTTCAATTGTGATATTAATTACTTACCAATAAATAAAACCGTTTAAAAAGGCCAAGCCGTTAATTATTCAATGGCTTTTTTTGTAAGGGGAAAATTTTCAAAGCATCTCCCGCCCAGGGTCGGGCGGGGCAATGAGAGGTAGGTTAGGTAGGTTAGGGTAGGGCATAATCGCCACCCCTATCCGATGGACCCGAGGCGAATGCGCGCGCGGTGTCTACGAGCGCCTCTAAGAGATGCACGGGGTAGTCGAACACCTCACTACCCCGTGCTAGAGACGTGGCCCGGACAGACCGGGCCAGCACTAGTGTGGGGCTGCGGAAGAATTTGGATTCCCGCAGCCCCGCGCGCACGTGCGAGGAGACACCGGGGTGGTTTTAGCCGGTAAGAGTCCGGCACACCCCTCCGCCTCTCCCCAGGCGGAGGAAGTCCATGAGGATTTCCCCGTTAAAAAAAAATAAAAGGGCATAATCACCAAGCTTGGCGGCTTAAGGATCGCAGTAAGGTCACCGATATATTTTGATGATTCTCGAATGCTGCTTCTCATTGCTTGGTCGCAGTTTAAGGTCGTACTTAGGTCCAATTTATATCAAGTTTAGTAATAAACTCGAAAATGAAATAGAATATAACCGAAAACTGCTACTAGAAAGGACAGCGCCATCTTATGCATTTAAGATAACCTTTATCATTTTCCAACTCGCCTGCCGACCGTAGTGAGTAATTATAGTTTTCCTTTTTTTTTGAGGAGGAAAATCACTGTATGACTTATCCTGCCCTGGATGGGACGATAATCTCCATTTTAATTGACTAAAACAACCCGTACCTTCTTCAGCTACAAGTCGGACCGCAGTACATCATTGTACCTATATACCCAACCCCAACTGGTACCAATGGCCCTCAATCTTATTCTCTTTGAGTGCTTTCGAGTGGTAGATTGGTTAAGAATAATGAGCTGGCAGCTATTGCAGTTCTCATACACATTATCAAGCCTAGTCTACTTACAGCTACCAAACACATATTATTTATTTTTATTAGGAACACAGATGAGTCCTATTTTGCATCCTCATGACCTAATCCCGTAATAGTTTCAGCGCCACACGTGTTTCAGTAGCACATCCCATACGTTGAGGGCCATAAACATTAGGACCTTATTTCGTAGTGCTAAGTGTCATTTTTGCTGTTCAAAATAATACTACTAAAGCGGTTGTAACTAACAAGATGATCGCGGATGCAGATAGCTGTTATGAATGATTGCGTCAGCGCCTATGATGCTTAGTGAGTGATGATATTGGCACAATTATGGCCCTTATTTAGTATGTAAATAAGAGCGGAAATATCGCATGATTAAAATTTACTTCTTATAGTTATTCATTTTTTTTTTAAAAAAAACCAACCAAACTATTCTATTTTAGTTCATCGTCGATTGAAGAAACCGTGTTTTAATTACTTTTACAAATTAATTACAATGGTTGTTTTCCTGCAAGCCTGCAATCTGATATATTCATAGCATGCAGTAATTACAAATAGGTGCATAAAACGACAAAAAAATCTATAACACTAACCTAACTGTCAGCTGAAATATTTTTAGGACCTCTCCGAATTTTTATTAGTCGGATCCGATACTAGTAAGGTTTCGTCCTAAATTTCCAAAATTGGCATCATGTGGGTGTTTCGTATACTTCCTAAAAGCGCTACTTCATAAAGCATAGGCGTATTGGTACGTAGGATGTTTATACACATGATCTAATCACTTCAAATCCAATAATTTTGATGTGTGGGCGTCACGGATCTTAGTTAAATCAATGCCTTAAACTGTTCCGTTTAATCAAGAACCAAAAATTAGAAGTGCCTTTACATGAAATCAATTTGAATATAGGACCCATCTGTTAGGTTAGCCATTATTTTACATCCTTTTTAAGATTCTCGTAATCGTTGTATCTGTCTCTAGCTCTGTCAATATTATTGAAATTAGCCCTTGTAATAATTGTAGCGAAAACTCTATATTATTTATATATATTATTTTGGATTAGGAAGGAATAATTCGAGGATTAACAAAAATGAGAATTAGTTCCATACGTACCCCAGTTTTGTCATCCCGTAGCCTCAATCCATCTATAGCGACGTGGACTTGTATCCTCTGCTTATGTTCTCCAGCCGCTCGGATGGCCATCTTCAGGTCCGCTAGTGCTTCCTGACACATCCTGTCTCCCCGGGCCTCGGGCACTTCGAGCACGCCGATTAGTTTCGCGCGAAATGATACGCCCTCGCCTAAGAACCGGCCCGGCTCGTTCTTGTCTGTTTAAGTCATATTATACAGTGTTAGTCACCTTGTAGTAGCATTATACTATTCAAACCAGGGTCGTTGTTGAAAAATATCGTCCTTACATCAACCGACTGAGTGTAACGTTCGTTTTACGTACGCCCTTCGCCTTACGTAAAGGCCTGATTTCTTGTCAACATGCAGGTCCTTCTTTAGTAAAACCATAAAGATAAACTTTGCTCACAATAAAGATCGGAAGAGACAATACACAGAGACCGAGGATATCTTTCTTCGGCCAATGACTTGAACTTTAATGCCAATGCCGTTCAATAGCATTGTTTTCAGAATAAATCAGGACTTCACATAAATTACTTGGACAGTCAGTGTAACGAGCACGGTTAACCATATGGGTCGCAGACGCAGATATAAAGGCATCGTAATCATACGGGAATCGTAAACAATACGAGTTATAAACTAAGCAAGTCAACCAGCTATCTAAGTATAACAAAGCACGTTAGTATACCACAAGTGCACACACTTAGCAGTCATTTGCACATCACCTTTGTTAAGCAGATATCTTGCTTCAATTTTTTTCAATGTCATGTTTATTATTTTTACACTTTCCCTCTAAAGAGCACAGACGCGACTGAAGTTCAGCGCAAAATAAAAGTGAGCACGAGTGTCCTATTTTGGCCCCTGTTTACGGTGCATCATTCCCAGTTAATTGAATATCCTGTTTTTAAATTTAGATCCATGATTGTCGCGTACTGGTGGTACCTGGTGGATGTGACCTCTTTGGACTGAAGATACAATATATCAACACTGTATCTTTTTATTATTTTGCTCTTTCACAAGAGTGAGGAAACAGAAATACTTCAAGAATGTTGTATGCAAACTGCGCAATCATTGCATACGTACACACACAAAGGTAGAGAGTTTGTTATTTACGAAAGAGCATGCTTTGTTATTGAGGTAAGATGTTAGTCTAGTCGCGGAATTTGATGTTACATTAGGGGAGATCTATTTGTGGAATGTACAGCGATGACAGCCAATACGATTGTTTCTTAATCATTTCACCCAGATACAATCGGCGGTTTAATGCGATATCATTGCGAATTTAGTAGGTAATGCAGAGCCCAGATAATTAGTCCTACTTAATTTAATAAAATCATATAAATATACTAAATAGTGTTACGACCCGATAATTATAATAAGATACGGACAGTAAATATCAGCAGACCGCACAAAAATGTGGTCTAAATAATTCGACGTTACAAATTAAACGTATACCGCACAAACAGTACACAGAGTGATCAGTCCATTTTAAATTGATACATATCATACTTCAGCGGATATTTTTTAACGAATACAGCAGCGGCATTAATTAATCATAATAAACGAAGCACACAACAGGAATAATAAAGGAGTAACTACAAGCGATGACACTGATACTGTAGATACACATACACAAGCATGAATGTCGTGTGTAAGGACAGATGTACTCACCGAACTGCCGCAAGAGATGCTGGAAATGACACACCTGCATAATTTCCCGTACAAACCGACAAATAGCAAGTTATGGAGTTAGTGCCCCCGACGCACCGCCGCTCCACATCCGCCACGGGCCCACAATACACCCTCTGTCCAAAACACCACGGGGGTCACTAATTATGACACGGACTAGCACGCGACTCTGTACCGCGGTGCTGAGCCCCCTAACAGTTAGTAGGGTGATAGGAACGTAGCCGATCCATGCAGGTTACAACATAAACCGCAAAATATAATAAAGCCAAGATATGCGAATAACGTGGTCGGGAACATTTAGCGCTATCTAATAACACCGCATTACCGTAATATCAAAAGTATATAAAAACATGGTGATCGTGAAGCTGCTCGATCTAAACGTTACGGACTCACATTTGCAAGGGCTGGTTTTCTTACGGAGGGTTTGCATTGGAAAGTCAGTCGGTAACTTGTGATTGAACATCGGAAACTTTTATATCTTCACTGAAATACAAATACACTATTGGATCACAGTCCACACACCGTCGCGCGACTACATTACGGCCACTCTTCATATAAAAATGCAACATCCATGTTTCACTCAAAGATTTATTGATTTTTACGTAGACGTTCGTATTACTCGAGGATGGCTTAGGTCGCGGCCGCGATCCCGTTCACATCATGGACTAGTAAGACAGCAGACGAATTAGGCAGGAATAGTTGATATTTGGCGAATTTTAACATTAGTGTATAATTGGGATGGCAATGGAGGGTCGCAGCGGTGGGCACCACATGGGCGCTCTCCGGCGGCGGCGCGCGCAGGCACCGCGCTCCCCTCGCGCCGCGCCGCCACACGCGCGCAACCACCCCTGATCAATATTCGCTCCCGATCTCTACTTCGTACAACTTTTATGGTTCCCTTCAATGAGACAGTGCACACTACTCTATGTCGGGACTTGTTAATATTAATGCCACTTTACGACTTTTCGTTCTTTAACAGGACAATGAATTTGTTTGAAGGATTTGTCTCTTAATTTCACTTAGTCATTGTTACATTAATTCAGGTACCTAATAAAATACATACTATGTGTTTGCATAGTGATACATAATGAGTACTGTTTCAAATGTATTATCAGTATATTCAAGATAAAATGAGAAATAATCCCTGGGCTGGTGTCAACTTGTGCAGATAAGATAAAGTAAGAGTTGAAAGGATATAGGGTGGCAAACATTTATGTAATGTGTGAACAACTATACCACAAATTGTTATCATTACAAATTAAAAAAAGATAATTTGTTGGTACAATGTCTTTAGGTTTTCAGGCAGTATATTATTTGTATATGAAGTTAATAATGCACCAAAAAGCACAATGTACGAAATAAATTTCTGTCAACTGCCTCAAAATTGGTTTAGCCAATTGTGAGATAATCACGGACAAACAAACAAACAAGCCTAATTAAGATCCTTTTCTTTTTTTGAAGTCAATTAAAAATAGCTATGTGCTTAATACTATAACATTAATTTTCTAACTTAATGACAACTATTTTATGACTGAGATAACAATGTAATAAAAAAGAAGAACTAGTTTAGTAATCCTAATCACAATGAGAATAAAGAACGAAAAAGTATAAACAGACCTATTTTTTTTATTGCATTATAGTGGTAAATACAAGGTGTTAAAATGTAGTGGTAATAAATAAACTAGGTATGTGTTATAATTTCAATTAGTATTGATTATGAAAAAAAATATGGCCCCAAAATTAAGATTAATTTCCTGTTGACACCAAATTAATTTTTATTATTTACTCATGCCATTATTAAAAAGGTAAAAGTTCACAAATTTTGAAGATATTTTTAATAGTTTACTTGTGCTCTGACTTGTGCATAATTTTCACCTGTAGGTAGAGGGTAAAGTTTATATAATATTTCCTTCTTGCTGTTTATAAACATTGAAATATTATTTTATGTTTTGAGTGCATTGATAAATTAATATATAGGTCTTTATAGATGCACAGAGATACTATAAATTGTTGATAACTATTTCAATTGATACTTCATTGGTAGGTAATGATTTGCCTAAGGACTTTGTACCTACAATAAAAATTTATTACAAACAATATTGAAAATATTCTGAAGATGAGCATAAAACTTGAAACAGTGAGTAAATTGGTAAGAATGTACTACAATAATACTATTCAGTTAGTTTCTCGTAAACCGGAATAACCGGATATATATATTTTCATAAATTCTATAGTTATTTACAATACGAAGTCGGCGTTCTTGAGTAACAAGGCCGTCTTTTACTAACATTTTTTTACTACACAAATACATCGTAAGAATTGAATATACTGCAAATATATGAATGAAAGTTACCTTTATAAACAGCCATGGTTTAAATAAAAAATCTTCGAGTATAAGTCATCATCACCGGCTTCTTTTTGTAAAGATTTTTTGATCACAACAAACTTCCAAGTTATTCAGCAATGTAACTTATTTACGTAATATACGAGTGAATGAAATATTATAAAGTTTTCAAATTCTTGTTGACCGGTGTTGTAGAAAACCGTCGAAATAGCGTAGGAAACGATCATGAATCTTCCAACTTGAATTGCTTTTCGCATTGAGATTCAAGATCAAGCGAGCCTTCGTCTCGATTTGACAGTTGACGTGCAACAATTTTGAGTGCAGTAAGTTACAAAATGTAAATTTCTACTAAAAAAATAGTATTTTGTATATTTCTGAATGAAAATTTTATGATATATTTTGCAGAAAAAAGATTGATTTTTAATGAAGTTCTTTAGATAAAATTTATGTTTGTTTAATTGACATTCTATCAACATGAATAAAATACAAAAGCTACTATTTTAGGTTAATTTAAATGGCTGGTATCATTTTCAAACTAAATGTCAATAATGAAGTTCAACGGTCTTCATTCAGACAGAGAAGGAATATATGAATTGATTTAACGTGTGAGCAGGATACAAAGAAAAATAAAAATATGTCAATTTCTAATCAATCCAGCTGACTGATTACAAAAGTAATGCTATGATAGCAAAAGCAAAGTATTTAGTCAACACGTAATATTGTTTGTTTATTTTTTAAATAAAGTGCATTACCGTTTTATTGACCATGGCAGTAATTTACAAAAAAAGTGGTTGCTACTTGATTGATCATAGAGAATTTATAACAAATGTGTATAAAAAAACAACAGTGACTGAAAGTGAAACAATTTCATTTAGTTTGTTATCACAATTGTTCTCTATTTTAAATATAGTCCATAATCAGAACAGAAAAAGACCGCGTAATTCTGATAATTTGCATGAAGAGGTTGGTTAATAACATTGGAACTTCTTTAATATTTCCAAAACTAAATAAACAGATGTTAATATTCATCAGAAATTTTATTATGTAGCTAAGTTTTTTGTTTCATATACTAGCAGTATATGAAAGATTAATTAATTTGTCTTCCCTTGGAAACTGAATTTTATTTTACTCAATTATATTTAGTTAATATTTTATTTGAAATGTTTCAGACAATGAAAATAAAAGCAGCTTATGAAAAATTCTTACATGAAATTCCATCGGATATAAAAAGCAATTTAGTCAATAAATACAAATTACTAGACACATCAGATGTAAGAGATCTTTCCAAAAAATTATTTGAAAGTACTCTTTTTGACTTCATGGGTATGAAAGGGGGTAATAATGCTGAAACATCTTTGAAATGTAGAATAAAGGAGAATGATTTCTTAATACCACCTAACTCAAGGTACACAACAAGTAAGAATTTTATTTATTTTTAGTTGATATCTTTTAGTATCAGCTTGACTGCATGGTTGGTGTGGTGGCTGGGCAACTGTCTTCTGTGTCCCGGGTTTGATTCCCACACAATAAAACACTGTGTATTCCAAAAATTGACCCAGGTCTGCATGTTATTTATATTTGAAATTGTGTTTGTAGATGTAACCACGACAGAGGAGAAAATCCTAGTGTAGGGCAATATTTTTTAGAAGAAAAACATTAATGAAAATAACTCACATATTATTATATTATGTAATGTAGCTAGTTGACTATACATCATAGCATAGAGTATAGATTCTAGTTAGAACATCTCTGAATGGTTTTCATTAAATTTCTACATAAGAATCTGTCAACCTTTTCACTATTAATATACTATGTTATAGTATATTATATACTATTAAAATACTATACTATTATGTATGTTTTACTTCACATTATTATTTTTATTTCACAGATTTTATTGTGGTTGTGTGAAGGAACAGTGTCTGAAATTGGATGGGAATAAGTTTGACATAGTTGTTGCTGATCCTCCTTGGTGGAATAAGTACATACGGAGGCTGAAGAATGCTAATGAGAAGTTGAGGTAAGAATCTACTGTGATTTTGGTGACCAGTAATAGTTATTCGCAATGGTATTTATTAACAAGTTTTGAAAATCGAATAACTTAAAAAGTCATTCTGTCTGACTCTGCTAATAAATCACAGACAGAGTTCTTTTAATTTTGACAAGAATAAGCTTATGCTAGTATTATACAGCTGAAAAGTCTGTTTGAATTGAACATGCTAATCTCTAGAACTACTGATCTGGTTCACATTGAATGATTATTTTTGTCTTAAAATGACCATTTATCAAGGAAGGTTATATGCTATAAAACATCATAATAGTTGCCCAGCATTAGGGGAATCACTTCGAAAATTGCTGGTACCTAAAAAATGAGACATTACATCTCCTTTGACAGCCTTTTCTTTTTTTAACTTTTATTATTATTATTTTAATTCCAGCTACTCAATGATGTATAATGAAGACATAGCAGCAATACCAGTACAGAACCTTATTTCTGGAAATTGCCTTATTGCAGTGTGGTGTACAAATGCGCCAAGTAATGTTGCCGCTGTCAAAAATATAATTTTCCCTAAATGGGGAGTTGAATATGTGGGTACTTGGTACTGGATGAAGGTTACAGTGGATTTGCAGCCGCTGTGTAGTTTCGGTTCTGGTTGTAAAAAGCAGCCTTATGAGAGGATTATATTGGGGAAAGTTGGGGATATAAATGATATACCTGATGATCAGGTGGTGGTCAGTGTGCCCAGTGCCTTGCATTCACAGAAACCACCATTGTTAGGTAAGACTAAATCCATTTTTATAAGCTTCTGTTCAATTGTGCAATTAAGACTTCTTGTCAACTTGTTTAGTTGTACATTTTTGGAAAATACTCATAAGTTATCTTACATATCCCATGTACTGTGAGTCTGTTGCCATACAATACGCCATACCAGACAACATACTTTATTGATAAATTAACGAAAATCCAAAAACAGCCTGCATATTGAGTATTACTTTTTTCACTAACAAGATATCGTACCTGGTAACCCTGACATGGTAGCGGCATTTACAACTTGACCAATTGGACAAGGACATACCTATGACTTACATTCATAACTAACAATTTATTCCTATTTTAGATATTTTAACACCATTCGTGAAGACAGAAAACCCTCAAACTTTAGAATTGTTCGCGAGGTACCTTTTGCCGAATACAACTAGTGTTGGGTACGAACCGTTGAAATGGCAACACGAATCCTTGTATGAGGAAGTTACATGAAACTTATAAATAAAATAGAAGGTTAGAAGTAACAGTACTTTTTATTTTAGCTCAATGTCAAATTATGTGAAAATCCTCATATATTTGCAGGCTGATCAAGAATAATAATATAAATGTTCTAAGAAATCTTATAATATAACGAATATTATATTTAAGTTTTCTAAATATGGTCCACAATGATGCACTTGAGATTGTTAACATAGGTAATTGAATTTATCATAATTTACCCTAAAAGAAATTCACTCAAGTAGTCTAGAACTAGTAATTAGCTCTCGATATATTGCCGGCACTGGATATATTGGGGCAAGCGCATTAAGGCACCGCGGCTTCAACTTCCAGGTGGAGAAAGAACAGGGAGGTATTTAGTCAGTAAGAGTCCGGATATCCCTTTCGCCATTGCGAGAGAACTCATTTCTGATTTTCCCCGAACAAAAAAATCCTCAATATATATTTCTCTGTAGGTACCATTTTTAGCATAAGCTGCTTAGTGATCTGGCATCTGGCTGGCATACCAAATAAAACAACGTGTAATAAATAGTAGGCAGTCACTTATTTAATAATGTACTATAAATATAATTGTATAGATCGCACTGCAATCCACGTTAGCTGTTCCCGTTCGCGTTCACAATGACGCTCGTCTTCTTGCTTTTCTTGGGGTAGCCGTCCGGGTTCATAGTCTGCCATCGCCAGAAATCAGTGCCTGTAGAGAAAATGAAAGGATTTTAAGTAAATATTTACAGAAATTATAATACTTACATTTAAAACCTGGACTCTCGCCATCAAACGTTAAAGTTTGGCGAGTTTAGATGATAAGGACACTTTTCTGTAATTTTACTGAATAAATTATTAAAAACAAAAGATAAAACATGGTTTTTGGAGCAACGTAAATATGCCATTGAGAACATCTGATAGCGTTTCAGGGATCGACTCCCAGTATACGTGGTTACCAATCGAGCCTACAAGCACGTTTTCCTTTTGTTTACATTTTTTTCTAATAATAGAAAAAGATATTTATCAACTTACACATCTCTTCAATGCTCAGTTTAGTAGACCACCCCAGTTCTTGCTTAGCGAGGCTTGCGTCTGCCCACATGGCGGTGATATCCCCTAGTCTTCTAGCCACGTACTTCAGAGGGATCTTAGTGTTCGTTACTCGCTCAAATACGTCCACCAGCTCTTTAACTGATACTCCTCTGCCGGTACCCAGGTTGTAGACCTAGAAATGAAAGGTTGTTTGAGTTTTTTACGGTTATTTAAGTCGTTTATTCGTAAATTTTCTTGAAGGCTGTACAGTTTTAAGGAGTTTGGTTGTGTTGACGGTAATGAAATATGTACCTTTAGTTTCACGTGAGTGCTGCTCAGCAAGTTGAGTGCTGCGACGTGACCGCTCGCTAGATCCATAACATGAATGTAGTCTCGGATACCTGTAACCATATCAACACCGTTTAGGTAATCTTTTTGGAGAAAAAATATTAAAAAATAAAATACCCAAATATTTTTACACAAAAGCCTGAGAAAGCTGTTTTTTAGTAGTTTCAGATAGGTTCACAGAAAACCGACGAGAAATAACTACGACGTTGTGTTTCGTCATTGAAGTAAGAGTGAGGTTACCTTTCCTTTCCCTCCCCAATCCTAGTCCCTAAAAGGCCGGCAACTTGCTTGAACCTAACTCCTTTGGTGTAAAAGGTGGCAAGAGTCCATCGGTGGCCCATTGTTTATCAAGAAAAATCTATTAGGTACTTCAAAAACCCATTCATAATCTCTCTCTATTCCAAAGTGATGAGGATAAAGGACAATATCGGAATGTATTTTGTAAGAGTAAAAGATGTCTTCTGTAAATTTCATTCACGTACAAAATACCAAAAATATTTTATTAAAAACGGCTCAACTTACCAGTGCCGTCGGGTGTATTGTAATCACTTCCGAACACCGTGAGCACAGGTTTCTTGCCGAGTGCCACTTGGGCCATGAACGGCATGAGATTGGTGAACTCCTTGGTAGGGTCTTCACCAATTAGACCTGACGGGTGCGCGCCCACCGGGTTGAAGTACCGAAGACATATTATATTCCATTTCTAAAGGAAAGAGAAAGTGTATGTATGTAGATATGTTAAAAACGAGAGTGTAGTGTCATTTATATGATAATTAAGTGTTTAGGTATTACGTAAACTGCGAAATGTACTTCTTCCGTAGGATCCTAAAATCCATTAACTACGGGATCAAAACTATCATAAAAAATATTTTAGTCCCATTAGCATACAAAACTAAATATCGTTCGATGTTTACGTAATACAGGATAGAGTGCAATAAATTAGATCGACAGATTTATTATCGAATGCATTTAAATGTCGAATTAAAAAAACAATTTAAAAATAAATTCGATTGACACGGATGACAGATACAATTATGTTAGCAAGATGGCGTCCTTCAACCTTGGCATTCACAGTAGTGGGCCATAAGGACCGGTATTGTGTCACGAGACCCGTCTTACCTTTTAGAAAGCACACTCATTGACCAGTTAGCTTTACTACATTCACATGTAGGTATTTCCGTCTAGCGTAAAAGTTATCAGAGTACGACCAAGCGGCGATAAAAAACAAAATACCTATAACATTTCCATTTAATTTTTCAATGGTTACCATTCAATTCTCGAAGTTATATGCTACCATAATACCTATGTTATTCGTCCATAATAGATTGGATTCTTTTTATCAAGATTTGACGAGGAACTAAGCTGTTTATAGAGCTGGGACAGCCATAACTAAATGGTTACCTACATGGTGGACCGTAGAAAATCAGAAAGTCTACTATCGCATCCACGATGTTAAATGATCTTAGATCATAACTAAAACAAAAAACATGAATCGGTTGTAGGTATTACACAATTTATATAATCTGTATCTAGACAAAAGAGTATTTTATTTACCTCGTCAGCAGCGCTTAGGTCCTTGAGCATTTCCTCAATAAAGTATTTGGTCCTTCCATACACGTTGGTGATGCTACCGGTCGGATGATTCTCAGTGATGGGTAGGTACTCCGGCTCACCATACACCGTGCAGGATGAGGAAAATACCATCTGATAGCAGTTGTGTGATCTCATTATCTGGAATTAGAAATACCATGATTAATCATCCATTATTTGCCATTAGGAAGAATGAATGAGTCTTACCTACCTAAAATACAAGTTTTATTAATTTTTCTTGTGCGATCATAAAAACATTTTTTTAGGCTATGTCGGCAAATGAACTTTTGAATCACCTGACGGTACGCAATCAGCGCCGCCCATAAACACCAGTGATACCTAAGGTTCAAAGTGCGAGTTTAGGATTTTAATCCCTTAAAACCCTTAATCTCGCACTTTGAACCTACTACTGTGAATGAGGAAAGATTGAGCCTCTGGACCTGAAGAAAGCGTTGTTTCACGCTGGTATTCTATGAGACCGTGGAACCACTCCAGTCGAGTAATACCATTTGTGCCAAAGCTTAGTTCTCTTATATTGATAAAATTCCTAGAATGCGCGTAGACCCCTTTTTGTGAGGGGAAAATCATTGAATGACTTCTCTCGGTAAGGTAGGGTCTCCCTGGGTAAGGCAAGAGGGAGTTTCAGACTCCTATTTACCAACTAAAATCCTCGCCAATCGACTGCATTGTTCACAATGCCTCACAAATCTAAGTTCGAGCAGCAACGGGGACAATGGTGGAACAACGGTTCATGTCGTAAAATGTAATGGGACGGCGACAAACACTGCAAGTACTCATTTTAAGTCGAAGGGACCAAAGTGCAGGTAGTATCTCTACGATAAGGTTGGGGATAAGACTGACTTAGGACATGTGATGTAGGTAACACCTGAAAACCCGTCTTTCAAAATAAAAACGTTGCGGGATACAAGGATTTTGTCCTGTATCGTTGGTGCATTTTTTTTTATTCAATATAAACATTGCCCATATACACGTTCACATACACATCAAACCTAAACCTGGAACAACTATTTGTTGATCACACAGAGTTGCTCTGTGCGGGCATCACCTGATCGATTAAACTGCAAGTCCCGAAGATATGTGAAATAGTCTTACGATCCAAAAGCTATAACAACATTGATTAATACCTACGTTAACAGCCATGTAAGTCCCTGATGACCAGAAGCGACAATGTTTTTTTCTGTCGACAGTTAAAAGTATACAAAAATTTTTCCTTATAAAAATACTACCTACTCTCACGCTGCTCCATTTGATCGTAGCGTGATATTTTATAGTTTATAGCACACATAAACATTGTAGCTATCTATCAGTGAAAGAATTTTGGCAATCCGACCATTGGTTCCAAAGATTACCTACCCCTTACATACAAATAACAAATTTTACCTCTTCATTATATTAGTAGGTATAGATTGTGTAGTAGTGTAGTGAAAAGTGTAAAAACAAAAACCAATCGGAATTTTTGTGTTGGTATCAATCAATATCTATTTAAATATCCCGTGATAACAGTTGTGAATAAGCCAACATTTTTTTAACTTACCGATTTGCTGATGCCTACCTACGCAAAAATAATTTTATACTGATCCTAAATTGATTTGGCTATCAATTTAGAATCTAAAAACGTATCAATTTTGAAATCTAGCTTCTTTATTTACCGACATTTAATCTAACCAGAAAAATCAATCTAATAAACAATAACGTGATTAGCTGCCTAGCTTATAATGACATCACATTGTATTAAAAGAAATGGAACAGTTGCTAATTTTTGCTCGTCCAAATCTTTCTATGAAAATAAAGACTTGTATCTTCTACCGATTCGAATCTAACAGCTAGTTGTGTTTAATCTGTGTCTTCAACAAAAGCTACGGCAGCTACGTTTACCTTTTGCAATTCGTAGTGAGATAATAATATTACTTATACATACCTATACAGTGTAGTTTTCCTCATCTATTTAATAATGCACACTCACCTCCAATAAGTTAAGCATCCCCAAAAGGTTGTTCTGGTAGTACAGTAAAGGTTGT